CTATCAGTCAGATTTGCAATGTGGGTTCCCTTGAGTTCCGAGTAAAACATTAAGATTTGGCGGCGCGTTCCTCTTTCATCCTGTTTTCTGCAGTCCTCTGTAGCTAACACCACGATTGGTTAAAAGCTTCCATCTCCTCCATGTCACCTACGGACCCACATCCAACCCGTTGCTTCCACTCAGAAGCCTGTTGTAGTATTGTGATGGTGTGACACTAACAATGTGATCCAGCGGAATATTATTCTCACATATTCCCACAGTTCAGTAATGCATTAGCAACATACTACTAAGTATATTTGAACATTCTATTTCATGTCGTTTAATGTAAGCCGGAATCACACGCTCATTGATTGGTTAGACGATATAAAACTGCATCTATATAAATAGCGCTTTCATCACTTGAAAACATACCTTGGCTTCAGTGTCTTGGCTTCCGTTGCTACATTTGGTGTCTATGCCTGCCGACAAATCAAAGGCATACGCCCAGCAGTTTTTGTAGAAGGAGACATATAGATCTTCTAGCAGAATTTCGAGCCTGTTGCGCAGTTGAATGGCGTTCAAGATCCGTCAGCGATGAGGCTGTCACTTCGAAAGTGTGAGGCGAAACACTGATGAATGTGCGCCAGGGTCAGGCAAACAGCCTCAAAAGTGGGAAGGACCACAAATGGTCACCGTGAGACGGAGTCACGCATATACCATCAGAAGTGCAAACAAAGAGAAGCGAGTCAATGTAAGCCAGCTCCGGAACTCAATACAGCAAGACAAACTAACAAAGCCACTATCACCAAGAAGATTGAACCGACTTCAGTCGAAAGTATTTGAGGGAGGGACGAGTGTGGTGGTGTGATACAGACAATATACTCAAAGGGAGTATTATTCTCACATATTCCCACAGTTCTATACTGTATTAGCAACAGAATACTATGCATTTAATTCAGTTTAGATTTTCCCGTCCCCGGCTTCTTGTGCCAACCTGAGATCGAGCACTCCGGTCCAATCAATCGACGGGAAAATCGAAAATTGAATTAGATAATTAATATGACCCATTGCACAAGAGGTGGCTGTCGTCGCCCAAGTGGTCTAGTGGATAACACTTTGGCGTTTGAGACTGTGGGCATCGGGTTTGAGCCTCGGTGGGAAAACCACCAGTCACTGGGGAATGCAGGTACATCCAGTGATGAGTGCCAAGTATGACGAAATGTGAGTTATGCTGGATCTAACTGCTTTCGCCATCAACTAATTGACTAAATTTGTTGTGGTTGAATTTTTAAATTTTGCTGTATGACCATAGGTAATCACGAAATTCCTTCTGGTTTTACCCGAAGAGATACAGTAGGAGAAAGGTGTAAGTGACAAAGAAAATGGTCAGTATCAGACCGGATAAATCTTGGACAATTAATTGCTTAATAAAAGCAAAAATATTCATTCAGACATCTATAAAACACAAAATAATTGAGCCAGCGAAGAATATCCTTTTCGATAAATTCCTCTTCTGGCTCTACAATTATATATGTATATATTTATGTACATAAAATATTCTAGAATAGTAGTCAATAACAATATTAGTGTTTTCTAAATAATATCGATTTTTAAAGCAAGATCTGTAGAATTACAGATCATTAAAGATGCTAAAATTATAATAATAACAAAGATATAATACCAAATAGAATATCAACTAAAATTAGGGATATTTCTACAAAAATTGAGGATCATTCGAACCTAGATGGTCAAAGTAAGGTCAATGCCTAAACTAGCTTCTTTTGGACACATAAATTAGGCTTCTTATTGTGGATCCCAACAGCCTCAGCAATATTTAGTAAACGACCACTTAAGGTGAAGTTAAGATTAGTTGGTATGCGATAAATGACTTTGAAAGCCTCATTGCTATCAATCTTGTGTTCTGTATCCACAAGATGAGATAGAATAGCGCTTAAAATGGATTTTGTTTGTCCTTTATTTAACCAATCCTGCAGGATGATGTTCGGAAATCGGACGACAAACATGCCTAATTGTGCGGCCTATGTAACTGGAACCCCAGAAGCAGTTAAATTGCTTGCAAGAATTAAAATGCATATATCGACAACAATGCCAGCTAAAGCTGACTCAAAGCCATACCACTTACTTTTCTTACTTACAGCTTTTAAAGTCGTACATCCATAAAAGAATAAGTGGGGACAAAAAAGGAAAATGGGTAGAGTTCATGAATTAATAGACCGGAAATTCTCAACTTCCCTACTTAGTAAATCAGATGAAAAACTGCTTTAGAAATTCACAAGATATGAGACAACCAACAAAGACTGGAAGAGAAATCGGTACCAAGATGGGCAATTTTCTAATAATTTTCTATCAAATTACAGTCTATATTACAAGTGTCTGATGAATTACCGCACGTCAACAGTTTGTCTGTCAAAGTTATACAAATATTCAATCCTTTCTCTCTGTCTTTTATCCAAGGTTTATATTTGTGTAGATGCAACAAGGTGTTGACTGAAGCTATAGCTGAAAAGATAATCTACGTTGCTGCGGGTTTCATATCACCAGCAATTTTTGAATTAAAACTCTACCAGTTAAGCTAATATGCTTATTAGACACTAGCTACTAACTCGTGTAGCTCAGTAATAACGTCTCTGACTTCAGCACTGGGTGACATGGGTTCAAACCTAAGAGGGGACACGGGTTCGTTCAAGATTGCAGATACGCCTGGCTGAATGGTAAATAGCAGCCAGCAGGAAAATTAGGTCTGGTAGGGCTTCCTGCCGATTACCTCCAACCATCTTATAAGCCAGCATGTTTTACTGATGATTGGATTTACTCCAACGACTGAGTTTCTTTATTCAAACTTACAGTTGACAATTTACAGAATTCTAGGTAAATCTTACCACGACTTCCTTTTCAGAAGCCGAAATTATTAAGATCTCAATATGTCATCAAGAATACAAGAGTGACTTCATGCATTTATTTCCTTGATGAATTTGAATAAAGCAAGAACAACAGTGGCGGTTTGTACGGAATAAGAAGATGGGACAATCATTGATTATTTCGATGGCTTCTCATAAGCTCAGCTACTACTTACAGCCTAAATAAATTAGGAGGTTTATGTACAGAAAAGTTTTACCATACTTACAAATTTTTTCTTCATGATGTCAGTTGACAGAAGGTTCCACAATTAGTGAACAGTGCTCAGAAAATTGCGCTCACATAGTTTTCACACAGGTAGTTCAAGTTTAAGGAAAAATAAATGTATGCATACAATGGTAAAGCAGTCGCGTAATGGAAAGACGAGAGTTCAATTCATGGAAACAAGAGACAAGCGAATTTACACCGTATCAAACGGAGGGGAGTAAGGGTAAAGCCAAAGATTACGTAATCAGCTAAAGGAGAGAGTAAAGACATCCAGTTACCAGGATGGGCAAGGAAAGACTAATAACTGCTTCTTTCCGAACACATAAATCTGGTTTTTAAGCGTTTCATAGAAATTGCTTCAGAAAACTTGAGGAGAATCGAGCTCCTTTGTCTATTGATAATTTTGAAGGATTTTGCGATTTCCACCTCATGATCAGTATGGAGGAGATGTCTGGTAATAGCACTATTATAAAAGTGTGTCCCCTTGAGCACCATTTTCTGAGCCCTGTCCCCTAATTGTGGAACCTTCTGTCAACTGATATCATGAAGAAAAACATTTGCAAGTATGTTAAACCTTTTCTGTACATAAACCTCATAATTTTTTAAGCTGTGACCGGTTTGGCTGATGTGAAGTCAACGAAATCAGCAATGATGGTGCCATCTTCTTATTCTGCACAAACCGCCACTGTTGTTCTTGCTTTATTCAAATACAAGAGTGTAAATGCATGATACTATGTATACTACTGATCGACTAAAGTGAGTAGTTGTGTAGCCCTCCCCCCCCCGCACGTCAACCATGAGTCATCGCTAGCCACTTCAACGTGTATATACAAGTTTACTTGCTCTTGAGGAGCTGAGTACATTGGCCGTACTATGCGCTGACTTGGAAAACGCGCTCGTGAACACTATCCAGTTTGGCTAGTAAAAGGAGACCGGAAAAGTGTATATACTTCAGTGACGGAACATCTGGTCAATTCAGGAAATTCAAAGCTATTCAAAAAATCCTTCAAAATAATATACAAGATTCGATTAAACTTATCAAAGGGAGTGAAATTAAGACATCTGGGCATAGCCGAGGCACTAGCCATTCAAAAGCTCAAACCCACGTTTTGTATCCAAAAGAAATGCGTCCAACCCTTGTCCCTGCCACGGCCATCATAAACGGGTATTTCTTTTAATAGTGACTATCCCATTGCCTTTCTTATCCAAACTTCCTGTTTATTCATGTTATTTTAAAGTTTTTCTCAATCCCTATATACACTACCATGTTTTCATATCCCAAATTCCTGTATATTTTGTCATTTTACTATTTCTACATATTTAATCCCTGACTGCATAAACAATTATTCGTCATATTAGTTATGATCCCACTAGATTTTTTATCCAAACATCCTGTCTATTTTTGTTATTTCTACATTTCTTACCCCTAATTGCACAACACGTCAATCTTCTCAGTAATTATGATGCTACTTTGTCTGAGCTTTATTCGTCCCCCTGTTTATTAAAGCATTTTGATTCCTAATTGTAATTTTTTATTAATTTGACCCTCAACCGGAAATTATTCTGGAACTTTCCCATCCATTTGATATAAATACACGAATGTACAGCCTCCTAGTTGACGACTTCGTCGAAAAGAACATTTTTTTTCGCTGCAACCATCTTCTTAATAATTCCTATGATTCAATGTGTATATTCCGTGAACATTATAGTCAGTAACAAGCAGAGTAACGTGAAAGTGGCTGTTTCGAGTTGTTGTTTTTTGTAATTTTTTTTTAAACTCGTACTATCTGTAATAATTTTAGTTATAAATCAAAACTATCTCAATAATCCTTTCGATTCATTCACCTTTTCTTTTTTGAAAAAATTTGTTTTTGCAGGAAAGAAAACCATCTATGGCATCATTCGCCTATTCAACAAGAAGGTAATTTGTTTTTAGAAAATCGTATATCGGTTTATTTCCAAGAGTTTACTTGTATGGATTTAAAAGTCAGTCCTAACGAAGAATATTCATCGGTTAGAGAGCTATTGAAAACCAGCTGAGAGTACTGGACAGCTGTTTTATCAGCCTAGTTTTGGACTCTTCAGCCGTGCGTACCCTCCACCATGGTTCAAAGCCAAGTTACCTTCTGGTTACAAGGCGAGGTCGTAGATCATCAAACCAATGGAAACCGATACAACGGCTCATTAATTCCAACTTGGAGTGAGGTGATAGAACATGTTGACCACTTCACCTATTTGGGAAGTTGTATCAACACCAACGGATTGATTGGGGACGAAATCTCAGCACGGATCCGAAAAGCTCGAGCTGCTTTCACTAGCTTACGCCATCTCTGGCGTAGGCGTGACATCCTACTATCAAACAAGGAATGTGTGTGCTGCTCAGAAGTTCGCTCCGTCCTTCTCTATGGCTCTGAAACATGGCCAATACGAGTTGAAGACATGAAAAGGTTGACTGTTTTTGATCATAGATGTCTACGATCTCTTTCTCACGTTAGGTGGTATAATAAGGTAAGTAATGTTGACGTTAGGCGTAGAGTGTTGGGCAAAGAGGGAAAATCAATCGAAGAGGCTATAAAGTTACACAGACTGAGATGGCTAGGTCACGCTTTGCGCATGCCTAACCATCGCCTCCCCCGACGGACTGGTATTACTAGCTGATATAGGTGCAGGTTAGAAAAGAGTAAGTGGTGGCCAAACAAAAACATGGCCTCATCAATCCATGAAACCCTTGACAGTTAAACTGAGTCAGGTAGGGAGATGCAGACTTCCGGGTTAGGGCCCATCCTCGGGACTCTAAGAATCAATGGCTGGAGACAATAGGTGACATGGCTCGAAATCGTTGTCAATGGCTTACGCAGATGTATTCAGTCTCTGTAATCTTTCATATTCCTTTCTACCATTACTCATTCTGTTTCACTCTCATACCTGTCAAAACTCTATTGATTCTCTTCACTCATCTTCTTGTCTACCTTTTTGTGCTCTTTGGAGCGTGGCAACTCGAACTGCTGCACTTCAGTGCCAAGTTCTATGTTGAATCCAGACAGACAGAATTCCAACTTATGCCAGTTCACGATGTAGAGTGCGACCACTAGCCAATGTTATCATCAGTGGTGAGTATTTGTCTTCACAGCCAACCTGCTGTACCCCATTGGTCACGACCACTCACTAGAACTTAGGGAAATACCTACGTGAATAGAGCCAGTCACTAGTTAGCATCAGAGTGATGTTCAAGTAATGGTCTGTAGGGATTTGGTTGATTGGTTGCAGGATTTCACCATAAGCTGACATTGGTTAGAGAACCATAGGAAAACCAGCTGGAAGTACTCGACAGCTGTTTCGTTCTAGTTTGGGACTCTTCATCGGTACGCACCCACTGGGTTTTGAACCCAGGACCTTCCAGGTTTTTCAATGGTTCTCTAAAAGATGTCAGCTCATGATAAAATCCTCCACCCAATCAAATCGTGGCAATCAAACACTTAAATATTCTTTTCAATCATTTTTTTTCAAGTCCTTACAGTTATGACATATATTATTTGTTGGCGTTACAACAATAATGGCCAGTTATGCTGCGGATACATTTTTCATGTACAATGACAGATTAGTTATGCAGTGTCAAAATAAATAGTCGTATTTGTGCGACAACGTGCTAGGCTGAAATATATTACAAAATATTGTGAAATGGGAGATGATAGTGATGATCAGTTGTCATAACGGATTCGTAGAATGTGGGGTAGGGAAAATTAACAAGTCAGTTCAAGGTTATAAAAGGTGTCAAGTGATGGAGTGGCTAGTACAAATTAGCATGTATTAAAGCGGAGACAGTAAGATTGCATTGAGAAGTTCATCATGAAATAACGAATATATGAAGTGGAACAGGTGGAGGTATATCCTGAGAAGAGATAATATCACTAATAATAAGTCCGATTAGTATAAATGGAAAATTCGATAGTATTGAGAGAATGTTTGAATGATTAGAATAAATTATGACGAATAATAATAACAACTGTAATAATAAGCAAAGGAAGAAAAAGACCAAGAGGATTAAGGGGAAGAGGCACTCTTCGTGAGAAGGAGAATCATCAATCGAAGTTTGGGCACGGTAAGAACAGCATCTGGACGTGTCCTTTTTGGATAAAAAGCTCCTGTCTAATAGATCTTATTGCAACAGCTTCAGCTATGTGTAGGAGACGTAAGTGAACTATATGTGATAGCGACTTCGGTATATAACCCTGAGGGTTGTGTTGGCGTCGATGTGATGTCCAGTAGAGACTAAGTATGACAGAATCAACCTTTTTATTTATTTGATTTCCCCTTTGCCGAACCAAGCTGGTAAATGTTTTCGACCACGTAGACGAACCTGTCTAATTGTACGCCCTAGTACTATTGTCGCACCCAATACTATTTATCTTATCACCCTATAATTAATCTGTTATTCTGAGGAAAAATCTATCCACAGCATAACTGGCTATTCTTGTTGTATGTTTGGTATGTGATCCTCTGCTGTCAACCGTAGGATGATGTCACACAAGTGAACCACACCAACTCCTAGCTTAAAGGTAGAAGAAGGTAAAGTGGTACAGAGTGTTGACCATATCCCTTATTTTGGAAGTTGATTCAACTCTAATGGACTGACTGCTGACAAAATCTAAATGTGGATACAAAAAAGCTTGTCTGGCGTTTGTCACTTTAGGTGACCTCTGGCGTAGACGTGATGTCCGGCTGGCTATCTATCAAGAGACGTGTGTGCTGAGCAGTAGCTCTTTTTGTCCTCTTCTCGGGCTATTAGACATGGCTATTGAAAGTGTAAGATGTGAAAGGCCTGGTGTTTTTGATCATACGTCTTTGCCTCCTGCCTTCTGTGTTAACTGATACAACGTGATGAGTAATACTGAGTTTAGGGGAAGTCAGTTGATGAGGTTGTGAAGCTACACCGATTGAGATGGCTGGGACTTGTGTTGTGCATGCCTAGATGCAATGTTAGCGGACATAGTATTAAACTAGAAAATACTTAGGAGTGGCCAGACTAAAAACTGGCATCAATCAATGAAGCTCAACACTCGAAACTGTTGGTCTGAGCAGCCTCTAGAACTACTTTCCAATGGTTTCCGGTGACCAAAATACATTATTATTGTTATTATTATTGTTCCCTTGGGTTCCTAGTGGAACATAGGGCTTCAACTGCACGTCTCCACTTGCTTCTGTCTTCTGCTATACTTTTCACCTGCATCCATGTTAGTCCGTACTGTTTCAACTCTTCTTCACACGATCTACTCCATGTCACCCTTGGACGTCCCACTCGCCGCTTCCCATTCGGATTCCACTCGAGCAATGGCCTGACGCGCGATGTCACCCAACGGCCTCCTCAGCTCAGCGAATGTTCAATCCATCTCCACTTTCGCCTGCATATTTGTTGAGCGAAGACAGTTGTTGATAAAGGTCTACAACAGGCTGTTGGAAGTATTCTTTGTGACCCGCCAAGTTTCTGATCCATGCGTATAGAAGAACTGACTGACTTGACGTTTGTATTGAAAATCCGAATCACTTTGTTGTTGATGCTGAGTTGAGTGACGAAGATTTCCAGATTGGTTTCAGGTTGATGAATGTGTTTCTCGCCTTTTCGATTCTCGATTTGACATCCTCGTCCGTTCCTCCTGTAGTTGAGACAATGCTCCCTAGATAAGTGAATGAAGTGACCTCTTTCAAATCCCCCCCGTTGATGGTGATTGGCACTGGATGTTGCTGCTGTTGTTGGTTGGTTATTTTCATGACCTCCGTCTTGTCTATGTTCACCTGGAGTCCTGGCTTCTCTGGCTGCTTCTTTGACCAGTTTGTCGGTTTTCGCTCATAAGTCTTCGATGTTGTGTGACATCAAACATAAATCATCCACGCGCGAAATCCAGGTCTTCTAGATTCTTCACGTCGGTGGTGCAGGATATCCCTGTCTTCTCGTTTCCAACTGTCTGACGCATAATCTAGTTGACCACAATTAGGAATATCATTGGTGATAATAAGCACCCTTGTCTGACTCCTGTGTTTACTCCAAACCAAAATACATACATACGTTATTTGATCCACTCGGATTCTGGAAGCGATGTACCCATAGACTGGGAGCCAGAGTTTTCCAGATCCCTCACGCATAGACCTACATGTCCACTGGTCCGTTGTTAATCGCCATATGTTCACATTTGCCCTTTCGCCGCCGCTGCCGCTTGAAAGCAGAGAATAGGACCTTCATATGATTATGAGCAATAAATTGTGCTCGAAACGTCATCAGTAAGTATTACTGTATAACACTGTGAGACTCTATCAATATAAAATTTACCCATAATGGAATAGGACCATAAATTTTCTCATAATCAGCTTAATTTCTCCTGATACTTTATACGAAATCTTTGCCCATTCCAACTCCCTTCCGCATTTTCATCTTCTTTCAGTTTAGACAGTTTATCCATCGATTTGGATATCACACAAAAACGTTATGTACCTTGGAGTAAAATATTTCGATCACGTTCAGTATGGGCAATTTTAATTTGTCATGTTTGTTATAACTGGGCATTCTACACTTTAATCACTGGTATGCCAACATATATGTCACGTGTACTTGGCTTTAGTATTGCTGAAGTGAGTTATTAACCATAATTTTTTTATTAATTGTGATTAGTGATGGAATCCATGAGTTGCGTTTCGTCCTTATCGGGGACTCATCATCCGTGCGTACCAGAATTCCTAGTGGAAAATAAGTGAGATTGTCAGCTCTGAGAAATTGATCATCGAACACACATATTTCGTTTATGTAGTTCTCATCGAGAACGGTATGACTCACTGACACTGGAGGCTCACCAAACTGATGAGGCCCACAAGGGACGAAACAGCTCTCATGGATTTCACTGCTAGCAGCTATCAGTCAGATATTTGTCTTTTTTACTAATATTAATAGATTGTTAATTAAATATAAATGTTATGACTAAATTCCTCCACAAATTTGATTAAATTCCGGCCAAATCAATAAATTTATTTTCGTTATTAATGATAAAGATACTGCTGCCTGGGGTTCGATGACTTCATCAAAATTTGATGTGGCTTGATTCAACTGGTAGTACCAGTAATGCAGAGACTGCATTTCAGTCCAACAAGGTGATAACTAACTTGTCTAAAGACTGAATAGCCAGTCCTGCATTCCAATTCCTCTTGACTTCTACATCCCATGTAAGTAAAAACAAAACGTTGGTTAATCCGAGCCGATGATTACAGTTGACCTAAGTATATTAGAGAACATTATATAAAAGCTTTACCAAATTCAGAAAGTATAACGAATAAATAATTAATTTAGCTGATTGCAGCATAAATGGGAGGAACTTTAAAGAAACAACCTCCTTTACCTACCCTACATGGGAAGCATCGTTTCAGCTACAGGCGGATGGAACTGGTGAGGATATCAAAGCAAGAATCGGAAAAGCAAGACAAGCTTTCACTACTCTCAAGTCTGTGTGGAGGTCAACAGCACTCAGCATCAAAAATAAAATCCGGATTTTCAACTCAAATATGAAGTCAGTGCAACTATACGGATCAGAGATTTGGCCAGCGCGTCATAAAGAGCATCTCAAACAAACTACAGACCTTCATTAACAGTTGTCTTCGCTCAATACTCAAGATCAGATGGACGGCCAGAAAAGATCAGCAACAGAGATCTCTGGGAGTGAACCAACCAGGAACCGATTAAGAAACAAATAGGCAGGAAGAAATGGAGATGGATTGGCCATACCTCGAGTGAAAACAGAAAGAGAATCGGCGAGTTGGTCGTCCAAGGGTGATTTGGAGGAGGTCATGTGAGGAGGAGATGAAAGCGTGTGGGCAGACTTGCAGCCAGGTGAAGACTCTGGCAGAGAACCGAAAGCAATGGAGACGCGCCGCTGAAGCCGTACGTTCCTCTAGGAATTAAAGGAAATAATACTAATAATGATTAGCTGATTGCATAACCATTCGTGAGATCCCAGAGACAAGTGATGTTAAATATGTTGGACTAGCAGGCGGTTACTAATGAATAATGCTGGATTTTAGTTGCGTTTTATGAAAAGCTGAAGTCAATTTCCACTCATTAACTGTTGATTACCAATCACTTAAAGCAATTAGTTCCCTTTATGAATTTCGACAACACAATACGAAGATTTAGTTTATCTCAAACGTGGTATGTGCGTATTTGCGCAACATATTTCAGACATTCTGATCACACACTAGTACTTGTCATACATAGTTTTCATAGAAGGCAAGAAGGCATGAATAATTACAATGCAGGTCAGATTTCATACAGGTCAAGGTCACGAATAATGGGTAGGGAGATGACGTGAAGGTGTTGGTAAGAAGGAAAAAAAGAGAAAAAACAAAGCAAAGAAGGGGTTGAAAATATTATCAAGTAAATTGATTTCTTGGTTCTAAACTGAATTACCAAGACGGGTTTAAAGTAATAACAAATAACTTTTGGACACATAAGACAGACAGGTTTAAGTCTTTTTATGGCCAAGGCTTCAACGTATTTAAGTATATGACCCAAGCTTTTTTCTATATGAGCTTCAAGGCATTGTTGAAATCAACCCTTTGACCAGTCTCTATAATGGGGTTCACTATAGATGATGTTGAACATCTATTTCCAACAGATCAATTGTTTCTGTTCCGCTGAGATTTATTAGTCATTATGGAAGTGTCAACTACAGAGCTTTACCAATCTAATCAGCTTCCAAAAAAGTTGTTTATAAATCCTTGCCGTTCAGGGGTCATCAACAAAGTCTGCTCCCTAGACAAATACTCAAGGCCACAATTAATAGAACCTATTATATTTTTTATATTTTATATTTTTGATTACAGCTTGATTCCACACCGTATTTTTGGTACAAGTATGGAATTTTCAGCATGGATATCGGTAGCCCAAATTTTGCAGGCCGACCATTGATATCGGGTGTGCGTCGGCAGGGGATCGAACCTCAGACCATGTGCATGGTCGGCGAGAGTTCTAGCCACTGTGCCACCGACGCACTATTATGCAGTTAAACTAATCTTCATAGAGAAAACGAGAACTATGCTGTTCTGTAAACCCTCACATCGTCCGAACGATAGCGTCACATCCCACTGTGTTTATCAATTTACATGTATGTGGGGAGACACGTACGTAGGGAGGACCCATCGGTCTCTGCAGGTTAGGGCTACAGAAGACATTCCAAAGTGGTTGCAACAACAAATGAAATCACCAGACACAATTGATTCCGGAAATAGATGTCCAACATCATCTATAGCGAAGCATATTATAGAGATGGGTCATAAGGTTGATTTCAAAAATACCTTTAAGCCGATATATAAAACAAGGTTGGACCACATACTTAAATTCATTGAAGCCTTAGCCATAAAAAGACTTAAACCTGTCTGTCTTATGTGTCCAAAAGTTATTTGTTATCACCTTAAACCTGCCTTGGTGATCCAATTTAGAACCAAGAAATCAATTTACTTCATAATTTTTTCAACCCCTTCTTTGCTTTGTTTTTTCTCATTTTCTCTTCCTTACCCACACCTTTGCGTCATCTCCCTACTCATTATTTGTCACCTTGACCTGTACACAATCTGACCTATATTGCAATTATTCATGTCTTCTTGCCTTCTATAAAATCTGTGCATGACAAGTACTAGTGTGTGCGATCCGAATGTCCGAAATGTGTTGCGCAAATACGCTACATTACACGTTTCAGATAAACAACGTCTTCTTACTGTATTGTCGATATTACCAATCAGCTAGCTAAGTCGGGACGTTCTTACCTGAAAGGCCAACTGCAGTGTATTCATATTCTACGTTATGTCACCAAGTTGCAATTCCTTACATCATCATCAAGCAGAGAATAGAGTGGCATAAGAATTTCCAGCTTAGCTTCAGTGACTGTCAAAATGACTCCGATATCATCAACTACGAAGTAATATGGAAACAGCGTCAACACTATGGAGTTCTCAAGAGCTTTATCAACCTCATTTAGCAGTAATATACTAATGCCATACGCCAAGAAGTTCACAGCGGAAGACTCAGTGATTCCCTTGAAGCGGAAACGTAAGACAACCCCGCATACGATCGCGATGATACTCCTTACTGTGGTGGACGGGGGCGAGGAAATTGACATATGCTGGACCGACAAGAAGACTCTAGAAGACTTGGACTTCACAGATGACTTCGTCTAATTTCACACGGCAAAGTTAAACTTTTGACACCAATAACAACCAATCAGCAAACGACCTTGAACGGACTGATCCCATGAAAGAGACGTTTATGATAAGCGGAAACGTATATTTGTAGAAAAATGCATAAGAATATGATAAAACGGTTACAATGGGTATCTTTCCCGAACATGAGAGAGAAACATTTCCCAATTCAACATGGCACTGTCAATAGAGAAGTCGCACCACATTCTATACATATATTCATCTAAATGACTATAAATGAGATCCATTTATAGCCCTTATTCTATTTTTCAATAGACCCCAAAATCCTTCAATGGAATTTGTATGAGTCCCTGTAATTGGGTCCACGAAATCACTGGAGTGGTTCACTCTGTGATGAATGTATCCCAGAGATGACAATGAATCATAGCCTTTCCACTCGTCGGTATGTACAATTGATCCCGGTTTCACGAGTCGCTTTATAATAGGTACCAGAGTAGTCACCTTCCTGTCTGCTATTCCTTCAACAAATCCTTTTCGGAGGGACGTGTCGTATAAACCTATGACCCAAATGTTGTTCGCTCTCTGACGACAGCGGCTATATTTCTTCTTCACCAACACTGTCTCATCCACATAGACTACTAAGTCGTCCCCGCCTAACAACGAAGTAATTCTGCCCATTTTCCATGAGGCGATATCCCTGAAGTGCTGGTATACCAGTGAACTGTTGGGACGAGGCTGTTCTCCGTCTCGGCAGCAGCGGCTCTCAGTACCCATTAATTGAAAATGTACAAAACCTGGGTTAGGGAGAGATGCGAACTAGCAAAAAAATTTACTACGAAATTGTACCCTCTAATACTAACTCGCTTCCAGCATATTCCACAACGATGTACAAAATCATCAGTTGACCTAGTATAGCTTTTTAGAGTCATTACACAACCAAACGAACAAATTCTCTCCTTTAGAAGCAAGCCTAAGTCCGGGCAATACTGAAAGACACTATCCTCCTTGAATTGCAAACGTAACCTTGTAAGGGCACGCATTGAAATGAATCAAGCGCTATACAACATTGAAGTACGTTCGTGAATCTCATTGGATGATTCGACGTCGTTTGCTGATTGGTAGTTACTGGTGTCTGAAGTTTAACTTGGCCTTTCACACAAACGTGAAGACACACAGGCAAAAACCAAAAATTTGACGGACGAAGTAGTCAGCGAAGATAGGATTTCAAGTGAACGTAGAGAAAACAAAGGTGATGAAGATGTCCAGTCAACAACAAGGAGCACCAATCACTATCAGAGACAGAAGTCTGAAGGAAATCACCTTTCCCAGCTACCTATATAGAGTCATTGCAGTCACAGGCAGAACAGATAGAGATGTCAAAGCCACCGGTGTTTACGAGGACGGGAAGAGGTTATTACCCGAAAATCTATTGCACTAAGCAAAGGGAACATGATGTGATTTCACATGGCTCAGAAACTTGCTGCGTCACGATAAGCATTTCCATCAAGGCATAGACTTTCACCTCTAAGTTAGACATTCATGGGTGACATGGAGAAGGTTATGTGAGGAGGGTCTGAAATTTAGTATGTGATGACAGCAGATAATACAGAGGGATGAAGATGTGCCCTATGATCCACTTGGAACGAATAATAATGGTTATTATTATTATTGTTTCCTTTAATTCCTAGAGGAACATAGGGCTTCAGCTGCGCATCTCCATTGTGTTCGGTTCTCTGCTAGAGTCTTCACATGGCTCCAAGTCTGCCCACACGCTTTCATCTCCTCTTCACATGACCTCCTCCAGGTCACTCTTGGACAACCAACTCACCTCTTCCCTCTCGGGTTCCACTCGAGCAATGGCTTGTCTAGTGATGTCACTTGATGGTTTCCTCAGAGTATGGCCAATCCACCTACCTCCATTTCTTCCTGCTTATTTGATGGACAATCGGTTCCTGGTTGGTTGGTTTGCTCCCAGAGATCTGATCTTTTCTGGCCGGCCATCTGATCTTGAGTAGTATTGGGCGAAGACAACTGTTAATGAAGGGCTGTAGTTAGTCTGAGGTGCTCTTTCTGACGCTCCAAGACTCTGATCCGTAGAGTAGCACTGACTTCACATTGGAGTTGAAAATCCGGATCTTATTTTTAATGCTGAGTGCTGAATGCTGTTGACCTCCACACAGACTTGAGAGTAATGAAAGCTTGTCTTGCTTTCCCGATCCTTGCTTTGATATCCCTGTCAGTTCTGTCCGCCTGTATTTGAAACAATGCTTCGCAGGTAGGTAAATGAGGTTGTTTCTTTCAGGTTCCTTCCATTTATGCTGATTGTTTTCTGTAGGTTTGGTAGTGCATGGAGTCTAAGTCCATGGGATTAATAGCTCAAGATGAAATCTGCCATAAAGATTGTAGGTTTCTACATTAAAATGACTGACTTTCATGAATTATTCATTACATTAAGAGTAAAACTATTGGGTGATATAAATATATAACAACGTTCTTCCTCCGACATTTCTAACCTGTTTATTCCTCTGTTTTTCACCTTTCAACAGAACGGTCTGTTGTCATCTATCCCGTATATTGCACAATCAGTTGTCAGCTTTATTGTTGCCTACTTTTCTGATCTGTTTATTATGAAGCGATATCTATCGACAACTTGGGTGCGTAAGATAAATAACCTGATTGGTAAGTCATTCAATGTAAAGGCGTAAGATATTTGTAGCTTACAATGATTTAATGTCAGTAAAAAGTTTGAGCATTGTGGAATAGATCAAATAAAGTATAATTATATTTCAATGGTTCACATACTATGATAGGCTTTTGTTATTGGTAATATTTCGAGCAAAGTTACTGCCCGTGTTCACACCACTGTTGGAATTGTTTTGTTCACACATTTGTGATTTGTACTCATATATATAGTTCACTATTTTTGCTCATTCATGATTTTGTATTCAGAATTATATTCCAAGTGTGGTGAGAGCTGTCTACTAGCCAAATTGGTAGACAGTAATTTAAGTCAATATTTACGTTCCCAAGATTTGTCGTGAGAAACAACCAATCGGAAGACTGTGTTTGTTTGTTTACGTATCCATAGTAATGTACATGAAAACATACATAAATATGCGTTGATTTCCTTAATAAATGATCTGTTGCCTGACTCTTGCCTTCTGTCGTTACACAAGTTGTTGATAGTTGTACTGAGTCACCCTTGTTACATGTATCCGGTGTGACCTTAATGAATATATACTCGCTAGTGACTTGCTACAGGATGGAGCTTCCTGCAGTTCTAGTGAGAAGTCGTGACCAGTGAGGTCCAATTAGATGTCACGTGTGTGGATGGATTTCCCACCAACGACAATGGTTGGGGTGGCGCTAAATCACGAATTGGTAGAAGTTAGAATTCATGAGCCATTGAATCGGGTCCCAGTGGCTGAGTGGTATACGAGCCAGCTTGCCTTGTAACCGGAAGGTCCTGGGTTCGAACCCTTTTGGTGGGTGCGTACTGCCTATGATTCCCAAACTAGGATGGAACAGCAGCTGTCCAGTACTCCCTGGTTTTCAATGGTTCTCTAACTGATATCAGTCCGTGATCAACTCGTAAAATATAGATTGTGTTATAAGTCTCTCTTTTCATTTGTTCATATTAGTTTTTAGAATACAAACATTGTTCAAATTGATATTGTGGTTTTTGTCCCATGCATGTGCAGCTATAGATGAATTTTCTTCAAGATTCTTATAAGCTTGTGTTCCTGTTGGTTGATCTTTAGTAAGGCGTTTATGTTCATTCACTCGTATTTTGAGTGATCTGGACGTTTGCTGCACATATTTAGTCGGACAGTCAGCACAAGATATTTTGTAAATCAAGTTGGTTTTATCCATCATTTTTATGGGATCTTTCAGTTGATTTATTTTATTTTTGATTAGATTCGTCAGTTTAAACGTTGTGCGAATTCCGATATTTTTGAGGTTTCTTTGAATTGCCTCTGGTGTACCATTTTTATATGGTATTGTGACTGCTTTTTGCATTCTTCCATCTTGTCATTCTCCGGTTTTACCCTATCTTTTATATTATGTTTTATAAATTCTTTTGGGTAGTTGTTGTCGATTAGCATTTTGAATAGGACATTTTTTTCTTTACGCTGTTCCTCTGGTGTTGTTGTAAGTCTACGTACTCTATCTGCAAGACCTTGTATTAATCCTCCTCGTTTTACCGTGAGTGGATGAGCTGAGTGATAATCAAGGAATCTCCCAGAGAGACTTATAACAGAATCTATATTCATAAAGGTCACACCGGATACTTGTAACAAGGGTGACTCAGCAGCACAACTGTCAACAACTTGGAATATAATTCTGAATACAAAATCATGAATGAGCAAAAATAATGAACTATATATATATGAGTACAAATCATAAATGTGTGAACAAAACAATTCCAACAGTGGTATGAACACGGGCAGTAATTTTGCTCGAAATATTACTAATAACAAAACTTATCATTGTGTGTAAACCATTGAAATATACTTACAATGACTTTTTGTCAGATTGTATGAATTGAAATATAATCCTCTTCACTTATTTAATATACAGAAAGGTATGATATTTTTGACTGAACACTAGTCAGTAACTAGTGTAATGTGTCTAATCCTATCTTTGGTGCAGACTGAATTCTACCAGTCAAGCTTCCAATGTGGCCACCATGTCAATAGGTGGCTCGCCATTACGGTGAACTGTGAATTGTTGGTATTAGATGGTTGGAGGCAGTCGGCCACAGGAAGCCTTGCTTGACCTAGGTTTCGTGCTAGTTGGCACTCACCAATCAGCAAGGCGTATCTGCAACCTCGATGAAAGTCATGTCCCTTCTGAGATTCGAACCCTCGTCACCCACGCCACTGAAGATAATACTAGACACCTTACACTAGTAACTGACTAGTGTCCAGTCAAAAATATCCAATGCAGTCCTACAGGAAGTCAACCGCGAGCCTGAATAGCTCAGCGGTAACGTCTCTGAATACAGCACTCAACGGGTGATGCGGGTTCGAATTTCAGAAGGAGCATCAGTTCCTCCAAGGTTGCAGATAGGCCTTTTTGACTGGTAAGTGCCAACTAGCATGAAACCTAGGTCAAGCAAGGCTTCCTGTGGCCGATTGCCTCCAACCATCTAACACCAAGAAAGGTATGAATTAAGTATTCTTTTTCCTCCTCCTCGAGTTCTCAGAGTGGTATGGAGCTTCAAGCTTGGAGCGTTGAAGTTCCAGTGGCTATGTTGCTGTTTTCTGTCGGGTAGGGTTTTGAGCCGCATGCCCAACTTTCCCTCTTTTCTGTACTTACTTACTATCGGATGGTAAGTTAAACGAGATTTAAGAATACCTGGGACGTGGAATCAACTCCAGAACATGTACACTAATAGTGAGCATTCCAAAAACAGCACTACCTATAATACAGAATGGAATTCTCAGCATTTGTCACAATATTTTGCATCTGATTTACTCAAAATATAAATTAAATTAAAAATTCAAACAAAATTAACCAGAGGAATTTTGTCCACATTTACGATATAAAGTCAAAAATATTCAAAGCACGAAGCGAGAATATTAAATATAATAATAATAATAATAATAACAGTGAGTTTGTTTTAAACAGTATTGTCGATTCAGTTTGGAAATTTTAGCATGTTACAGATTATTGAATCGAAGTTTCTGTTGATATAGTATAATGAGGGGAAATACAAAATTAACAGTTATAACACAGCTTAAATTATGTTCACACTTATGAAAAAATAAACAAATAAAAACAAAAGCTTGAGTGGATTACAGATATAAGAAGTACAATAACAATAAAGCTTGATGTTATAAGGGTGGAGGAAAATGGTTTATTTATTAGTGCAAAGAAGGTTAGTTAGTTCATGCCTAACTCTATTTTCATCACATAAAGTACGTGCCAAATATGGTATAGTTGCATTTTTATACTTAAACATGTGCTCACATAAAGTCTTTTGAAAACACCTCTTGTTTGACCTAAGGAGGAGACACAAGGTTGGAGCTGTGGGCGCTGCGGGTAAAGTGGATGCTCCCATTCTGACAAAATTCCTTTAGCAAATTTGTTACAGGAAATTGAGTGCCTATCAATAATTACGACGTCAACGATACCACTCACCCTACTGACAGTCAGTCTTCAGAGTTCTACGAAGTATGACATATTTTTTTAAGCAATCCAGGAAAGAATGAGTGTGAACAGTAAAGAATAGTAGGTAAGATGCACGAGTTGACAAACTGTAAGATGAGGAGGGGTCGAGTTACACCTGAGTGCCTTAACTTCTTAATCTAAAGTGTCAGACGACGAGTTATGCATTAAACCTGACCACCTTTTTTCAGCTTTAGGTGGACTTGGTTTCAGTTTGATCTGCGTTTCAATTGTTGGATGTAATCGAACAGGTGCTGTGGTTTTATTCTCTGTTACTGTTGGTCTGATGGGATTCTCATTCGCTGGTTATGGGTCGAATTCTTTAGATTTAGCACCAATTTACAGTGGTAGGTTATGTCATCGACCAACTTTCTTGTTTTGCATTTTCCTTTGCTTTATGAAACTGTTTTATTGTATTAGAACAACCTTTGGGGGTCATTTTGTTTGTGTAACTACATTAATGATTCATTGTTATTATTATTCCCTTTGGGTTCCATGTGGAACATAGGGCTTCGGTTGTACGTCTAAATTTCATCCTGTTCTCCGAGGTCCTCTTCAGGTGGTCCCATAAGCTTTCATCTCCTCATCACACAATCTCCTTCATATCACCCTTGGACCCGAGCCCGAATCTTCGCTTTCCATTCGGGTTCCAATTCACAGTTTGCCTGGCGCGTAATGCCACTTAGCTGCCTGCTCAGTCTGTGCCCAATCCAACTCAATTCCTATCGGCATATTTATTGGACGATCGGTTTTTGGTTGGTTCATTGCCAGATTCCCTTGTAGCTAATTCCTCCTGGAGATACAGTCCTCAGTATCGAACCAGCGAATGGGGAGCTTTTGACAGAAGCCTGCAGTAACCTTCTGGTAATGCTTTCAGTAACCTACTGACTCTCTGACGGATCAGTGTAGAACACTGTAGGCCCCAAATTACGCTAATCCAGACCATTTTGATGTCATCTTACAAATATAAGTCCACCTGAAAGGACTGAATGAAAAGCTTCCATTTTGGTTTAGGAGTCCATGTCATAAAATGTGAATTTAGAGGCAAGTAAATCATTGATCAATGCAAACACGAGATAAATTATACAGTGGATAAATCGTGTCTACATCTGAGAGTCCTCTAAAACATCATTTGTACATAAAATTCTGGGGTTACTTTGCTTATCAGGAGTGATAGATATAAAACTCTTTTCTAGGTTGAATCTGTGTTCACAGGAAGACAGTACAGTCCATCGTCGAAACCAATTACATAAACCTTTGTTCTACTCGTATTAATGTATGTGTAAAACTTGGACAGTGTGGTTCTAAGTAATTCCATATTACTTTGTTTATTCGACATATCACACACTGAGTAAAACAGTATTATGTACTGGATGACACAGTTTCGAACACAATCTATTATTGTTCATACTCAAATTAATTATAATCACACGACTATGAAACATTCGTTTTATAGTTTCCCTTGTTCTTTCCTATTTGTCATCGTAGGAGTAATAGAATTTTCCAGATGTCCACGTGGACAGGTGTTGAATCATTCATATTACACGTGTTGGTTTTCAGTTGATTCGATAAACAAAGCTTCGGTTATCAATCTCTCCCTCCACCCTGTGACATTAGATTTTAAAACTGTCATCTTATCCCACACATCCCACTGTATGGTTGTGTGTAATTGCATGTAGTGCAATGGCTGATCTATTCTCCAAATTTCTTATCTTATTCGGGTCAACTTATCTAAATTTTGCTAGATTTCTGTGCTTCGCTAGTCTGACTGACCCTGCTGTGCTACTTTGACCTATGTAGTTGACCTGAAAATCATTGCAGGGTATTAGAAAAACTAAATTGTTTTGTTTCAAAGGGTCCACAGGATACTTTAACCGACAAAGCTTGTTTCTAATCGACTTTGTGGGTTTCAATGCCAGCCACTTTGATTCCCGCCCGCATTATTGAGAATTCTCCTTAAGGTTTTCGAAGTTCCTTCCTTGTATGGAATTACTACTGATGATTCAGATTCCTTATTGCTGGTGTTGTCATTATCCTACGTATGTTTGACATGCATGTCGTCATTAATATTACTATTATTATCACTATCACTACTATCATTATTTATTTTATTTTTACATTTCCCTACATACTTTCTGACCAATTTACCAGGGTAATTATTAAGTTTCAAGACGCCTTTTATATGTCTCACTTCCTGTCTTAGATTTTCCTTAGTACTACTTAGTTTTTGTGCTCTATTACTTAAACATTTCACCAATCCCATTTTCATTGAAATAGGATGGGATGATTGGAAGTCCAGATATCTGTTTGAATATGTGGGTTTCCTGTAAACGCACTAGCGTGTTTAACTTCTCATCTTCTTTCCTTTTATGCTACAATCTAACATTGGAAGTTCCCATTCTTGACTTTAGAATTCATAAGTGAATTGAATTGCCTCCACCTTTGAGGCAATGTGTTCGAAAAATCTACCTATATCCTGTGTTCTAAGTACAGTGAATGTGCCATCCATATACCTCCACCATACTTTTCGTGTGGGGCTGATATATTGTGGCAGACATATTCATGGATAGGTGGGAAAACATAGCGATTGAAACGTTCAACACCTGTCCCTAATATCTGGAAAATTCTGTCACCCCAATAACGACAGATAGGAGAGAACAAAGAAAACTATCAGACTCAAGTTTCGAAGTTGTGTTTGACTATAATTGATGAAATGATTATGAACAATAATGGGTTGTGTTAGAAACCTTGTCATCCAGTAAATAATACTGTTTCACTGTGTGATACATCTAACAAACAAACTAATATGGAATTACTTTTTTCTGCTCACCTAGTGATCTCAGACGCCTTTGTTGAATTCCATGTTGTGAATTTCAATTCCTGCTTGTGTTACTTAATCTCGTAGGCTGACATCAGATTTTTTCTCTAGGTATTCCCTCTCCTCAGTGTCATGGCTGTTAAATCTTGCATCTGTTATTTTTTATATAATTTGGTGATGATTTGACCAAGAAACTGTGATTGCTTCTTTTTTGGTGACTAGCAGTTGGATCCAAGAGGCAAGTTATATATTACTTGGGACCAGTAAAGTGAAGACACCAATCTCCAAGTGAAATAATAAATGTGAGCTGATAATTTCAAATTAGGATGAAATGCGTATCCTCGATTGTGAACCACTACCAAACAAATAACTTCGACTTGTTACTGCTGATAATGTCAAGGAAGGTATCCACTTCAAGTGGTCTAAATATCAAAACCAGACTGATCAGTTTGCGCCAGATATGTCGAAGGGAAGTCAGAAAATTGGATGAATAATTACTGCTCCTTCTTCACCCTTAGTTTTCTACGCTACCAGTTTAACACTCATAGCGTGATATCTTTAATTCTTTTATAACTATCCTAAAGTCAAACAGTCTACATCTGATGAAACCCCTTGAAGATGAAACAATGCTAATGTCTTATGACACTGAGAATTGAATGTGCTTTGTTTAGGTGCACTTTGTTCTTCTCAGTGAGTGATTCAACCAAAATTCTCAGCTTCTGTTGACACTTCGCCTCCTAATAGGTACGCTTCAAAAGAGTCTGAGGATTAACATTGATATTATTTTGTTGAGTGTACATTTCGTCCCTTTTGGGACTCATCAGATGGGTGTCTCTGCAATCCCCAGTGAATGTTTGTCTTCCCACTGAAAAAATGACAATAGGACCCATCGTTTCAAAGGCCAAGACGTTATCGAGTAGATCATCTAGACTGCGAGTGCAACACCCATGTGTACATCCACCTGATGAGGCTCAATTAGGATGAAGTTCGCATCCTGGATTCCGCTTGCAACTGCTTTTTATATTAATGAAGGCAATCATATACACAAAACTAATCAGTATTCATTTGTGTGCTCACTCTTTTCTTTCTTTTTGTTTCTACTTAGGCAATATTATTTCAATAACGAATACTGCAGCTACATTACCTGGTATTCTAGGACCTTTAGTGTTCGGTTATTTGACAAGAGAAAGCGTAAGTATGCATACAAATGCTGTTTTTTTGTTTTATTGCTTCACGTTCCCAGTGAAACATGAGGCACCTTCAAGCTAGAGGCTTGAAGTTTCAGTAGCAGTGGTGCTTATTTCTTTTTACGGGATGGTTATGCTAGCCAGCCTCATGCTTAACCTCTCCTCTTTATCAGTCTTTTTTACTGGCTGAGCGAGGTAAAGGAGTGCGTTGGCTGCCGGGGATCGATCGTGATTGATGATTCACATTGAGAAAGACGAAATTTACCAACCGATAAGAAGGAAACCTCACACACAAAAGGGTCAAAGTTCAAGTCAAGGAAACAGTCAACACGAATACCAATACAAGTAGCCTAGGGTAAGTGAAAACACACAAAGACAACCAGGAGAGATGTCTTAAAAACTCGTGGAGAAATCTAAAAGCTCACTTCAATTCAAATTGAAGCATGCGCTGAAGGAAGATGTTGCCTAATAAGTAGGGCAATGAAAGCTTCGCAAATAAACCATCCAGCCAGCTCTGAGACCACAACCACATCAAAAAAGGGTTATGTAATATAAAAGGCATCCAGGAAAATAGGATGTTATTGATGGAAAAGCATGGAGATGAGTGTCCAAAATAAATAAATTTTGCAATAGGTAGAAAGAGTAAATAAAGAGTCAGTTTAGAAAACTTTTCAGGATGATAATCAAAATCAAAATTCCCTACAACGTATATTTTCTATTTTTAATATGAAAGAATTTCTTTCGATTTGTTACCCCATTAATTTAAATTGCCGCCTTCCTTTTCATTGGTTATTTCAAGGTCGTCGATAGTTATTCGCTAGTATGATTTGATTGGTGACGCTGTACTTTTGTCATATATAACCGCTAATAATATTATTACCTATTTACATTTTATATGGTTTAGGTAATATAAGAGAAAAATGAATGCAATAAAAAACAAATTCAGCGAAGAAAATTTTCTTTATCGACGAAATCATCTTCACAGGCTGGCTGTACAGTCGTATTTATACTTACCAAAAACACGTATAGTAGTCTGTTATTGAGTAACTTGGGGTGGGGTGACATAATTGATATAATTAATCAGAAATGGCTTTAGAAGTAAAAATTAAAAGTTGTAAATTAAGTAGTACTCAGTGGCACAGAGTTAGAAATTTGATAAGGTTAAAATTGCCATCGAGTGAGAATAAAGGCAGTAGTTGAGTGTCAATTTAACAAGTGTGAAGAGGGTGTGAAAATTTACAAGAGGAACATATGAGAGTGATAATAGTGAATTAATTATTAAAGTAAAAAAAGTAAAAGCAAACTAAAAGTAGAATTGTAATTTAAAAAAAATTAAAAATCAAGACTTTTTACAGGGAACGACTAGTGAAGAGGTTAATACCAAGTTAGAATAAGAGACTGGACAAAAGTTTTCCGCATACAGAGTTCAGGGTTGTATTGACGAATCACCAACGCCTCCACCATGCACAAATGCCGAAACCTGACACCCTTTGTGCCATTTAGCCTCACGTTGTAGATAATCTTGAAAGACGACTCTGGTGGAGCTACGTGGTCTGAGTTCACCAAATGCTCGAGAACTGAGCTAGTAATTGTCTTACATTGTCCCTTTGCTAACCATGCCGGATAATGTTCAGAGATGCGTTTGGAAAGCGTGCGCTTTGTGCGGCCAATATAACTAGCTCCACACGAGCAGGTGAATTTATAAACACACATTGAAGCGGCCCAAAGTGGCGGCAGTTTAACGTTCACACATCCATTGACCATTTGTCGTCTGTAGAAATTGTTCCGCAGCTCAGCCATTCAGAAGGCTTTCCTCAGTGATCTGCATACGCAGCGATTCTTCAGTATCTCAGCTGTGGTGTCACCACCTTTAAATTCAACGTTCATAAAAAGCAGTTTCTTCTTGACTCAATGAGTATTCTCGAAGATTTAAAATGAAGGAATTTATCGTTTATTTTTGTTTTGTTTTTTCACAGTCAAGTGTTCATAACTGGTTATTCGTATTCAGTATCACTGCCGGCATAGCCTGGTTTGGTGCATTAATGAATTTATGGATGACAAGTGGAGAGATTCAAGCATGGAGTAGACTACCGAACGCTACAGACAATCAAGACCACAATCATGATAGTAATAATACTAATACCAATAATAATCACAGAAATATTCAGATGACTCGTCAACCGCAAACATCGACGCGAACATGACTCAGCAGATCTCAATGGAAATGATCGATTACATAGAAAAGGAAGTGCTGAATATTTTCTACAGAGGCTTTCATCTTCACAACTTCGTCTGTTTGTTCTTTTCTTTTCATTTTCTCCGTCTCCTCTATTATTAAATGATAAACACGTATGCTTTGCTTGTATTTTCTACCTTCAATTAGCCTTTTCTTATATTTCTCTCTCCCTCTCTCTCGAGTTATTCTTCTGTAAATTACATTCATCGAAGTTACACTTCTCTCCAAGTATCACATTCTTTATATTATAAGCAGCAGCATTTATTGATTTTCAGAAATTTCTTCCACTATTTTCCGATAAACTGACATTCAGCGAACTGATTTCGTCAACTGACACTACACACTCTGGGGTATTCTTCTTTTGAAGCATCTTTACCTGGCAATATTTTATTATAACCAATACGTATAATCATGCAGAACAAGAAAATACTGATTTGAGGGAAGATGGCAGACGTAATCTGTTCGACAGGCACACTATTGATACTCTCTTCATCATAAAGTCCTATACTCTAGGTCAAATAAAACGACAGTCAAATTAGCTGACATCGTGATTGATACTACTTATAATAGTGTCATTTTTAACCATTTCAGCAGTATGCTTCCAATATGTTCTGTGTTCTATTCAACCGATACACTTTATCTCTTTGAAAGAATTTCTATGACTTTTCCTAATAAAAACCTGGCTATTTTCATTCTTTTATATATACATAATTATTAATTTATTATCCCGTATTTTTGATAATGATTTGAAAAAACAAACGGTTGAATAATCATGCGTGTTTCTTTTGTTATTTTATTTATACTACTTTTTAACTAATCAGTAACTTAAACATTCCCTTGACAATAATTACGGGACATTATGAAATATTAGTCATAAACATTTGAAATAATGTATTTAATTAAATATAAGGGTGTTTTCCGGAAGAAGTCATTGATTGACCAATATATCCATTTCAGATCGTTTGTTCCTCTTCCACATGAAGGAAATCTTATCAGTACGCTGATGTTCCGTGCTAGAAAACAATGGCACAGCCGATACTCTGGCCCATGAAATAAGCAAATTAGGAAAATTCTTACAGAAAATCGGATATCCGGGAAATTTGTGAGGGTTTCCAGGGTGACAAGAACTAGAGAAATGCTTTCAAACAGTACAGAAGAAAGGTATACATATGAATTTTACAGTTTGATTGGAGAAAAAGATACTGAATACATGGCGCCAAAACCCCGAAATTTAATGGCTTAAACATTCTTCGCCACCATACTGTGTTTAAAATTCCCCATTCGTCGTTTAATTACAATGCAGGTGATGGATAGGCTACGGCGTACGGCCATTTCAATGTTCATTTATAAATTCACCAGTTCATGTGGAGACACTTACATAGGTAGAACGACTCGGAGCCTTATGGAGCGTTGTCCAACATGCTTACGTAGAAGAGTCGTAAATTCAATCAGAACTTCCATACTGGCGCACTTTGTAGTGGATACAGATCGCAAGATTGACAATAATTCAGCTTTTACATTTCTACACAAAGTACCTCTTCGGTTGCTAAGCATAGCTGAGGCGATAGCCATAAAGACTTTCCAAGCCACTCTCTGTGTTCAGAAGAAGTTTGTTCAATACCTCTCCCTCCCATGGCATTCACTACGAACCCAGACTGTTTACCTCTCCCGTTGACACTGGATAACTGTAAATATATCTCATTCTACTTTTATTTTAAACTAGACGAGGATGGAGGATTCATGGGCCAGAAACTGAACTTCGGACAAGATGCTTTATTGACAAACATTGTGCGGCGTGTACTACTGACGAGATTTATCAGTAGTATATGGATTGAAAGGAAGTAGACAAAATCGAAAGTAACATTTTAAGTCAGTGGGTAAGGAAGTAGAAGCGAGAAATAGACGAAAATTTTTTGGAAGACGTTTTTATCCAGGCCGGATGACGAAATTGAGCTACCGGAGATTGTTTACGGAGTGTTTGCCTTGAAAAAAGACCCATTAAGACTTACAAGGAGTCAGAAATTGAACTCTACCCTGAGTACAGTAATACAGGTGATCAGTAACAGAACAGAAGTGAATCAACCTACTGAGAGTAGAGAGCTGATTACGCTACTGAGACAAGAAGATCGAATAAGAGTGAACACCTCCTGAACTCTGACTTGGCGAGAGCACAATGGAAGACGGTTGGCGGTAATACACTGGTCTCTACGCCATATTATGATACAAGAATGTCACCAGCTAGCGCAAACAGGAGTAGCCAGAACAACCTACTTCTTGATAAACAGCATGCACTGGCCAGATTTGAGAGAAGATGTGGCAAAATATATGGTGGGATGCCCGCAATGCTAGTTGATGGAAGGAGACTGGTGCATACACCCACCTCTACAACCGATTTCAGATACGGTAGTAGGTGACTTGTGGTTTTTCGATGTGATGGGTCTGTTTGCTCAGACATTCAGTGGTAATCAGTAATTCCTGGTGATGAAGTAACACGCTTTTTTATTCCTTCGCGTTCCCAGTGGAATATAGAGCTTGAAGTTTCAGTAGCAGTGGAGTGTTTTTACGGGGTGGGGTTGCTAGATGACGCTGAACTTTTCCTCTTTGTCAGGATTCTACTCGGCAAAGGGAGGTAAAGGTGTGCGCTGGCCGGGACTCAAACCCCGGAAAACGTGCATGGTCGGTCAGTGCTCTACCGCTGAACCACCGATTCTGAACGCCATTGCAACCCTGGACTAGGGCCCGAGAACTGTGATTGATGCAGTAGTCAGACGCATCGTTGCAGACCATAGTGTACTAAAGATGATACCAAAAGACCAGGGTCCCTGTTTTAAAAGTGAAGAATTTGTTTCCCGTTTGCAACACCTAGGTATCAAGAAGGTCAGAGCAACACTGTATCATCAATAAACGAATGGTATGACAGAGAAAAGTAACCGTACTCTGAAGGAGTGGCTGGCTTCGAAGGGAGATAACTGAGAGACAGAGCTTCCATTGGTTCTACTAGCACATCGTGCTTCCACCTAGTAAACAAAAAAGAAGTCACCATTTCATTTGATGGGGGGGGATAAACCACGACTGCCAATACACAGCACAACCTGGCCAATCGATCAGTAGGGAAATATGACGACGCTGCGAACGGAACGGGGAGAAATCGTCATGAATGTAAAGCACAAAGAAAAAAGAAACCGTGAAATATGAATAAGGAGAAAAAATTGGATGTATAACCTCTGAAGTCGGAGAACAAGTAAAGAGTACGGAAGGAAAGTATGCGGCTGGATGTAGGACAGGTTCACGGAAACTCCTTCCGAATTAGGAACGGCCATACACTGTCAGTGAGAAACATGGTCCGATATATACAATCAGAGGAGGAGACAAAGGGAAATATATTGATGCCAGTCATATCCAGAGATGGATACAGTAGGACAAGCCAACTGTTAACAAGAATCAACAGGATTGGGTAGCAATCAGAAGGTCAGATTGGCTACACTCGAATCTATTTGGTGGGGGTAAGGGGGTGGTGTGTGCTACTGAGGACATTTGTCAGTAGTATATGGAAAACTCAGCGAGGCGTTTGGAGTAAACACAGGGGTCAGAAAAGGATGATTATTATCACCAATGATATTCCTAATTGTGCTACACTGGATTATGCGCAAGACAGTGGGAAACGAGAGAAGACAGGGATATCCTGGATCGAAGTGGAGAACCTAGAAGACCTTGATTTCGCGGATGATTTATGTTTGATGTCACACAAAATTGAAGACTTACAATCGAAAACCGACAAACTGGTTGAAGAAACAGCAAAGACAGGACTCCAGATGAACATAGACAAGACGGAGGTTATGAAAATAACCAACCAGCAACAACAACAACAGCAGCAACATCCAGCGCCAATCACCATCAACGGGAGGGATTTGAAAGATGTTACTTCATTCACTTATCTAGGGAGCATTGTCTCAACTACAGGAGGAACGGACGAGGATGTCAAATCGAGAATCGAAAAGGCGAGAAACACATTCATCAACCTGAAACCAATCTGGAAATCTTCGTCACTCAGCATCAACAACAAAGTGATTCGGATTTTCAATACAAACATCAACTCAGTTCTTCTATATGGATCAGAAACTTGGCGAGTCACAAAGAATATTTCCAACAGCCTGTTGCAGACCTTTATCAACAACTGTCTTCGCTCTATACTGAAGATCAGATGGCCGGAAAGAACAAGAACCAATCGCCCAAAAAATATTCAGGAGAAAGTGGAGATGGACTGAACACTCGCTGAGGAGGCCGCTGGGTGACATCGCGCGTCAGGCCAGTGCTTGAGTGGAACCCGAAAGGGAAGCGGCGACTTTGTCGTCAGTGCAAGGATGATATGGAGGAGATCGTGTGAAGAGGAGTTGAAACAGTATGTATTAACATGGATGCAGGTGAAAAGTACGGCAGAAAACAGAAGCAAGTGGAGACGTGTAGTTGAAGTTCTATGTTCCACTAGGAACCCAAGGGAACAATAATAATAATAATATGGATAAAGATTGATAGGAAGTAGCCAAAATTGTAAACAACATTTTAAATTATGAGCTACACTCCTACCATTGAATCACTGACAAACTAAATTCATGTAGTATTTGACCACATATATCTACTGATATTGAATAAAATCTGTAAAATTCTCCTGAAGAAGCTCTAGTGTACAAAACAGCGACTGGCCCTATTCAGGTGAGGTAGTTACTTGGGGTTCTAGTGGGAAGCCGTGACCAATAGGGCGCAGCAGGTTGAAGGTGAGGCAGTAACTCACCCAAGAAGACATTGCTAAGTGGTCGCGCTATGTCGTGAATTGGCAGAAGTTGGAATTCAAGGTTTCGTCTTTTGACCAGGCCTCAGTGGCTTAATGCTGTACTAGCTCGCTCGCCTCTTAACCTAAAGGTCCTGTGTTCGAACCCCGCTGGGTGTGTACTTCTTAGGAGTCCCACACCAGGACGAAATGGCTGTCCAATACTCCTAGGTTTTCCAATGGCTCTGTAACCAATGCAAGCTTATGGTGAAATCCTCCAAACATTCAGGAAAGTCATCTTCCAATTTTCTAAGCAAGCTGAGATTATTTTCAAAAACTGTTTTATAACATCATATAATACACTTTATTCCTGTGAAAATCTACATTTGTTTTTACAAATAAATTTACCAGAAAAATGCATAAACACAATTGAAGAGTTGATTTATACAAAATAAAACAAGAGTGTGTGTGTGTGCGTGTTCCTCCTTCCGTATTGCCGTGAAAACAATCTCAGATGATGGATGCATAGATGATAAACTGACAGTCCTTCACTATATAAAACAGTGACGACTCATTCCGCGTAAATTGTAATAGAATTGTAAATACATTCTTGATAACTGAATAGCTATAATAAAACGAGAAAAAATGAATGAAAAATTACTATGTAATCCGTCTAAGCTGCTCATTTCATGGCTAAGTATTTTGCAATAGAGCCATATACTACTTGCTATTTATAAGTAAACAAAAGATTATACGGTTTTTAAGATTTTTTTATTCAATTTTAGATTTTCCCGTCAATTGACTGGACCGAAGTGCTCGGTCTCATGTTGACTTGTCGGCTTCTTGTGCAGATGACTCGACGATGTCTGGGCATGCAATCAGAAGTTAATTGGTAGATGGTGACTAGCAGTGGAATCTAGGATGCGCGTTTCGTCCCATTTGAACTCGTCGTCTGGATGTACCTTCATTACACGTCCAGACATTGTCGAAGCAGCTGCAAAAGAAGCCGACATGTTAACCTGAGACCAAGCACTTCGGTGTAATCATTCGATGGGAAAGTATAAAATTGATTTCAGTAATTAATATGACCCACTGAATAAGAGGTGCCTCTCCTGGCACAAGTGGTCTAAGGGAAAGCGCCTTAGCATTTGAAACTGCGGGCACTGGGTTCAAGCCTCGATGGGAATATCGTCACCCACTGCGGAATGCAGGCACATCCAGATGATGAGTCTCAAATAGGACGAAATATGCGTTATCCTGGATCCCACTGCTAGTCACCATCCACCAATTAATTCTTCAAGATTTATTCGTTGGGACTTGATTTGTTTCAGATATGGTTAGGGAGTGATATCCTCTCATATCGAAACATGAAGGTCCTAGCTTCTATCCCCGATGGGTTCATGGGTGCGTACAACTGAAGATTCCAAATTTAAGATGAAACAGCTGTTCATTCTTCCCTCGTGATGAAGCTTGAAATAAATCAAGTCCCTACAAACTAACCCGCAGGACAGATTTGCCTGAAGTACAGGTGATAATTCGTGATCAATGGAATCCACCAGGTCGGGAATGAGAATCAATACTCCCCGATGACAACCGCCGATTGTAGCACTGAACTCATGGTGTTGCCATTTGGTTCCTTTCCAGCAGCTAAATGGTTAATGAGCTCGCCTGGTAACCTAAAGGTCGTAAGTTCGTTAGGATCCCAAACTAAGAGGGAGCCAATATCAATCTGTGATTAGACTTTGGAAAAACTTCTTCCACAAATAATTCTTAGTGAATTTGAACAAAGCGATAACAACACACGGTGCAGAGCTTACATCTTCCAAATGTCCGACCTCTCATTGTTTATGAGGCTACCTAACCTTTATGCAAACAGGTTCCAATCTTTCAACTAGCCAATGGGTTGCCGTGAATTTACCATGGATAGTATAGGCCTAAAAGGAACACCGTCCTTGTACGACTTTGGCATCTGGTACATATAAGGTAGACTAAACCCTTTATACTTCATTCAATTCAGTATATAAGTGGAATCATCTATGAGTTGCTTCATAAGAAGATCTTCTAGCACCTCTGTGATTTGCTTTCCAGTCGAATCGTTCACGTCTCTCGAGGACTTTGTAAAATCGAGTTCATCTCGGAAAGGTAGTCTTCTTTATTGATTACTACGCCACTCGAACCTTTATCTGATCATAATATTACTGTTTGGTCATTCTCTATGAGATGTTTCAATGCTTTCCAGTGTTCTTTGAACACCACGATCGACTGTGTAGTCGGTGATACAAGACATTGATTAGCCATGCCAACCGACTGAGTCCTTTTGAAACAACCCTTTCCATCTGTCCGTTGATTGAGTAAATCCTGAAGTTCTGCCTCGATATCAATAATGTACCATGTGTTGTCAATGCTTTATTATAACAAAATAAACCTCTTATTCATACTTAGAAGGAATACCACAGTATTCATAATTTAGCTCTCACGGCACTTTTGATTAGTCTTAGGTTGCGCTGCGAACCGAAATTAGTAGGAGAAGTCTGTTTCATCCTAGTTAGGGACTCTTCTTCAATGATAATTTATGATATTGATTGGCTACATCACGACTAAATTATGGTTGACTGGATTATGCATCAGATTGTGCTTTGGGAGCGAGGAGTTAGGAATACGCTGGACCACCGATGAGAAGACTCTAGAAGATCTGGATTTCTCAGATAATATATGTCTAATGTCACACGAACTTGAAGAATTGCAGGAAGGCGGAAACCAACAAACTGTCTGGAGAAGCAGGCGGCGAAGACAGGGCTCCAAGTGTACATAGAGAAGGCAGAGGTGACGAAGATAACCAACCACCAACAACAGCACCAACAACAACCAACACCAATCACCATCAGCGGGAGAAATTTGAAAGAGGTCACTTCCTTCACTTGTCTACAAATCATCGTCTCAACCACATGCAGTCGGAACGGATGAAGATGTCAAAGCCAGCTAACCAGAATCAGAAAGGCAAGAAACCCTTCATCAACTTGAAAACGGTTTGGAAATCTTCTGCTGTCATTCAGCCAGCATAGGGAACAAGATTCGAATTCGTCTGCTAAATCCTGAACTCTGCATACAAAAGAAATTCGTTCATTCAATAAATCTACAATGGACGTAATCTTTCTTAATTTCAGTCTTACTAATTGTATTATTTTGTCTCTTGCATTTTATTATTTCACATCTTCATTTATATTATTCTCTACCCCACCCTTTCGTAATCTCTACCCTCATTAACGATGTTACTAACTTGACCCACGTCCACTTTCTAGTCAACTGTGTTACGCCATCCGATTAACTTACTTATTTTCAACTGTATTATTCTCTAACCCCACCCTTATTTGATTTTAAACATCGCTCATTAACACTGTTGCCAACCTGACCTAATCTGAATTCTACTCACTCAATCAATTCTATTTTATTTTCCATCTTAACGTTTGTTTCCAAGCCAAAAAATACTTATATTACATAATTATCTAGACTTTATAAATCTAATGTACACACACACAAACAAAATTGTATAAATATGCGATTGTACAGCTCAGTGAATGAATTCGCCGAAAAGAGTCTCTTCGCTGAACGCCTTCTTTTCTTTTATAAGATTCGAATTTTCAACTCCAGTGTCAGTTTAGTCCTTCTGTACGGGTCAGAAACTTGGCCAGCGTGTCACGGAAAGGATTTGCAGCAGGTTGCTTAGATATAAGTATAAAACTTGGGCACTATGGTAGAGTGTAATTCCATTATGGGTAAATTTTATTTGGATATTTTATTTTGATATTACTGTATAACACTGTGGGACTTTATCAAAACAGGTTGCTTACTTTCATCAACAGCGGTCTTCGCTAGCTCTATACTGAAGATCGACTGGCCTACTAATCACAAAGAATTAGCAGCCAGGAACTCTGACTGGGAAAAAATCAACCAAGAACCGATCGCTCAACAAATATGTAGGAGAAAATGGAGATGGATCGGGTATGCACTCTGTAAAGTGTCGAATGACATCGCCAACCAGGCGTGCCTCGAGTGGAATCATAATGAGAAGTGACGAGTGGATCGTATTAGGGTGATATGAAGAAGATCGTGTAAGGAGGAGATGAAGGATCATTGGCAATCGTGGACCCAGCTGTAGAGGATAGCAGAAAATAGAAGAAAGTGGAGATGTGTTGCTGAAGCCCTATGATCAACTCGAAACCCAATGGAACAGTCATAATATAATACATCACGACATAACAGATGTTAAAATTCACCACCCTGATGAGACGTGAAGAGTGTAGTTTGCTAATTCGAAGCTCCTGAGTTCCATCCTTGATGGCGTGTTGAATGGACAATACTGAAGAGTCCTGAAGAAAGACATGTAGCTGTCGAGCAAAGAAATCTCTAACTAATGTCGGTTTCGTGACGAGGTTTACAGTAAAATACACTAATAATAATAATAATAACCTTGTAAAACTAGTAAGCTGTAACCAGTGTGAAAGTCTGTTGAACTCAGCATAAGAAACAAGATCAGGACAATTAACACTAATGTTAAATCAGTGCATCTATATGGTTAAGAGACTTAGCAACAGCGTCACTTAAGGCATTTCCATCAAGCTTCAAACTTTTATCAACAGCTGCCACCTTCATAAGCTCCATAATGAAGATCAGATAGCTGGTCAGCAAGAATTAACAATAAAGAAACTCTAACGAGGAACTTGTTTTCCAACAAATATACCGAACGAAACAAAGATGAGTCGATCTTAGGCTGAGGAGATCATCGAATGACAATACCCGCCAGACCAGTTTTGAAATGGAACCCAAACGGGCGTGGGCGCGCGTGTGACATGGAAGAGACTGTACACGGAGGAGATTAGAGTTTATGGAAAATCGTTGAGCCAGTATAATAGGACTACAGGTAACATGATGAAGTGGAGATGTGCTGTCGAAATTCTTTGCTTCACTCAGAACTAAAGCGAAGTTGGTTTTCAGAGATTCGACTGGTTACAGGATTTCCTCATGGGCTGAAATAGGTTAGAAAACCTTCAGGGATTACTGAACTTCCGGCTGTTTTGTCCTAGTGTGGGACCAGTAGGACAGAGTAGGTCAGGTGTGAGGACAAATACTGGCCACCACTGACATTGGCTAGTCGCCATACCATATCGTGAATTGGCAGAAACAGGAACTCATGGGTCACTGGATCTAGTCCCCATGTGCTAGTGGTTTACGAACTCCCCTGGTGGGTGCGTACAGCTGAAGATTCCCAAAATGGGCTGACGAAACAGACGGACTGTCCAATACTACCTACAGGTTTTCCAATGGTTCCCTAACCGATATCACCTCATGCTGAAACTAAAACGAGTTAAAAAGAAGGTGAGTAGAATGCTAATCGATAAATTATCACTCACTTGAATAATATTCATTCCATCGACCAGTAGCTGAAGGAAATCTCAACGGAATCGGATAGAAATATTCTGGTTTTACGTGGGCATTAAAATGTAACAGTTTAGCAATAGGATATTTTAATAATGAAATTGTCTTGACTTCATTAAATTCTTCTTGATTCTTATCACTGAAAATAAATTTCCATACAACTGGACAACGCTGACGTAAGGAGAATGCACTCAGCTGAATATTCCATTCACACGGGATCTCATATAACCAACGTTTATTTTGACTTAACATAGCGTTGATAACATCCTAGAGCATAGAAAAATAAATATGAAGTATACTTGAAATGAATTCAAAGTATAGTTAAATAAAAGTTTAAAATTAACTATTTGAAAGTACTTGACTTGGGCTACGGCCACATACTTCTGAGGAGTCCTAGACTGGGACGAAACATTTGTCCAGTACTCCATCGTTCATGTGTCGGCGCTTCAGTGTTACAACGCTTACCAACCACTCAAGAGGTTTAGCTTTGATACCCAGGTGATGCAGAACTAAGCCTCATTCGTTCTGTTTATTATTATTATTCATAAGGTACACCTTTAAAAAGGAGACGTGGAGGACAATCTGCCTGAACTTCAGATGCTCCTGTCCTATACGTTATACAAAAGAGTGGTGAGGACACCGTTTGATATTATAAAGAAGATTTGTTCAGAAGAATAAGTTAAAAGAAGAACTAGCCACTGTTGAAAAATGCCTGTGGGAGGTTCATCGACAAACATGGAGAAGGTAGTGTTGACAGGATGAAGTACAGCACAGTAGAGCAAAAGCCCGTCTTTCTATAGCTTATCTTCAAAGGTAACGATAGTGCTAGTAGAATAAGATTCAGAATCAACACTGCCCTGGAAAGAACATATCTCGCTGCCAAGCTTGTATGTGTTCATCAAGCGACCAGTTGTTTAAGACAGTCAAAAGTGGACAAACTTCCACTTTATGTTCCCTCCCTCCAACTGCATCTACCAATTTACATGTACATTGGCTGAAGGGAGAGAGAAGTGGGTTACTGTCTACATTTCTCAATGCATACCAAAGAACCTGAAACTAAAGGGCCCACAAGCATTAAACAGTGCGATTGCGCGTCATCTACTGGACACTAGCCATGTTGTAGACAACCTGAAGGCGTTCAAAATAATCAACGGACAAAAGAAACCTAGCCCGGTGGATCTTGTACTGCCTTGATGATAACAAAGCACAAAAACTTCATCAAGTCATCTTCTGCCCTGTTTAGAAACTTTGATTTTTACGTCTAAACATGACTCATTCTACGCCCCTTTTTTGTCTATTTTATAAAAACGTGTTTCTCTGAGGTTACGTAACCTATTATTTTTTATATTCTTAGACTTACTCTTGGATTGGCTAATACTTGAATTATCCCAGTTTCTGCCTAACTGGCTACAAACGGTGCCTGGTGAAAACGCTCTTCAGCAGAGCTAGGGCGTTGTGTTCAGAAGATAAGATTAAAGAGGAACTCTCAGGCATCGAAAAGAACCTTATCGAAAATGGATATCCTCGGGATTTCATATCAAAATATTAGAAAGATAAAGCACCCAAGCGGAAACCTGACATCGTTGAAAAGAAATCAGCTTTTATCTGTCAAGCGTACAGCGGCGAAGAAGTATCTATAGGAACGTAAAGCAGAATTAAAGGTGCACTGAAAAGAATGTTTCCCGCCTCTGGACTCATTCCACTTTACAACACAGTATGCTCATTAACCCAGTCAAAGTAAGAGAAGTATCCGGCTCCGCATGTCAACTCCAACTGCATTTACCAATTCACCTGCACTTGCGGCAGCAAATACATAGGAAGAGCTGAAGGGAGAGCGTCTACTAGATTCTCCAAGCATATTCCTAAAGGTCTATGTTTCCAAGACAACAAAGTGTTCCCAACAGCCATCGCCAGACACCTAAATGACATGGGACATAAAGCAGGAATTAGTCAGGCTTTCAAAATAATCAGTACACAAAAAAAATCCAGGTAACTTCAGTTTGCAGAAGCCACTACCATCAAAAGACTTCGACGTAACCTATGCATACACAAAGAGAATGTAACTAATCCCTCAATACCCTGCTAAGCATAATTGTTTTGTTCGTGTACTTTTGTGTTTTGTTCTGTTGCATAACATTCCACTCAATCTTGATTTTGATTTTCAGTCACTGAGTTGAACTCACTATTAAGGTTCCAAATTTACTAAATTAAGTTATTTTATCCATTTTATAATTTTACTTCACTATTCACCGCTACCCTCCTGAAATCTCCAGCATCATATTTATAAATTCACTCCATCATTCTATCCTGTATTTTTTCTCTAGTCCATCCTTGTTTCCAAGACAAACCTGAATACGACCCCCCCCCCCAACTTGTTTAATTACTAACACTAAATAATCGTCTGCTTACATCATCTTTGAAATTATGTTGTCTATACTTTCTATCTATAACTTGAAATCATTGTAAAAAGTATGTTCAGACGACATTTTGTTACATATAATTGATTTATTTGGGATGTATGCAGTTGAAGAGAGTCGACGAAGTAAAACGACCTCGTACTATCCTGCATTAGCCTTAACGAGTTGATCTCTGACGAAATCTCAGCACCTATACAGCAGGCTAGTTTCGCATATGCCGGTTTACGCCTTCTCTGGCGTAGACGTGATATCCGGCTGGCTGTAGATCAAAGGGCGGGTGTTAATGCTCAGCACTTCACTCTATCCTCCTTTATCGCTGTGAGATCTGACCGTTTAGAGTGGAAACCATGAAAAGGCTACCTGTCTTTCATCATAGGTGCCTGCGTCCTATCTCCCATGTTAACTGGTATAATAGGGTTAACAATACTGAGGTTAGACGTCAAAAGGGTGCTACGTAAGCAGGGAAAATCAATAAATGAGGCTGTGAAGTTCCATCGATTGAGATGGTTAGAACTTGTTACGCATGCCTAGTTATCGCCTTCCTCGACGGGCAGTGTTAGCTAACATACGATGGATCAGGTTAGGAAAAGGTTAGCTAGTGGTGGTCCAACCAAAACATGCTTACCTCATTCAATGAAATCCATAACAGTTAGTTTGAGCCACGTAGGAAGATATAGAATTCCTCACTAATTTGGGTCCTCGGGACGGTAAACACCAATGAAGGCTGGAAACAATCGGTGATATGGCTCAAACTCATCGTTCTCAATGGCAGGCACAGATGCATCCACTCCTTGTGACTTATAATACCCAATAAAACTATACTGTTCTTCGATAATGCTATTCTTTTTGCCTCATATCTCTGTTTACTGTCTCTAATTTGCGTTTCTTTTTACTTTCTTCTTCTCTTGCTTTGTGTGCTGAGTGAAGTGTGGCGACACGAACTGCTGCACATCGCTGCGAAGTTCTATGCTGAAACCAGTCAGTCAGTTATTCTCCTGCCTGGAAATAGGTTCGTTCTTTCTTTATTCAAAGTAATTAAAGGAACCGGCTGTATGACTTTCTAGTTAAACTTTGTTTCTACCGGCAAAGCATTTGTTGAACTCTGTCCTTTTGTTGCCACGATTAGTTATGCGATTCCTCTATAAACAGTTGATCATTTTTTTCTGTTAATTATTTAACAACTTACACCATTACTGACCAATCTTACTCTTAGGTCCAATCAATTACTCTTTATTTTAATTGAATTTTAGATTTTCCCGTCGACTGATTGGACCGAATTGCTCGGTCCCAGGCTGACATATCTGTCGGCTTCTTGTGCAGATGCTTCGACGATGTCTGGACATTTAATTAGAATTTAACTGGTGGATAGTGGTCTACAGTTGGACCGTACAGTGGGAACATCATCATTCAATGACTGGGGAATGTAGGTACATCCAACTGGCGAGTCCTAAATAGAACAAAATGGGCCTCCTGGATTCCACTGCTAGTCACCATCCACCAATTAAATTATTCTTTATCGTTGGAAAGAAGTGCGTTAAGATCTTGAATTTGATTTTTTAATTTTGGTATTGTTCAGGTGATAGCGGTTGAGAAGAATTTGATGAAATAATAAAAAAGAGCTCATATTATCCTCGCACATTTTTTCGTTCTTGCCTTACTCAAATTTATCATTATTCAGTAATTTGAAAATTCCCATTCAGTCATAGAAAAGAAAAGGCGTTCAGCAAAGAGTTACTCTTTTCGGCGATATCATTCTCAAGCTGTACAAACCGCAAATTTATAGTAATTTTTTTTTGGCAACAAAAGGAATATTTCCAAAGATGCAATTGGTAATTTTTGACAACAAATTACGTAATTTAGAAGGCGTTAATCGGTTAGAAACTAAAATAAAGTTACAAAAGTAGGTTGGGTGACGTAATCTAATTGCTAGGGTTCAATGAAAAAAATGAATGAGAGTCAAGTTAATAATCTGAGTAGAATTCACTTGAAAATGGGTGAGAGTTAAGTTGATAAGCTGAGTAGAATTCACTTAAAAAAAAAAAACGAAAATGGAGTTAGCAACAGTCGTCATGAGGGTAGAGATTTAATAGAGGGTGGGGGTAGAAAATAATGCAATTAAGAAACAGACAAACAAAGAAGAAAGAGGTAAGACAAAATTACGTATTTGATGTTGAGATAGATCAGGACCATTGTAGATTTAGTGACTGAATAAACTTCTTTTGTATGCAGAGTTCAGGATTCAATATGTGAATTGCCATTGCTTCTGCAGTTTGAAGAAGTTTAATTCGTACTCTTTTGGCAAGGTTCCCACGTATTGTGTAGATAACTGAGAAGTTGCTTTGTGGGTTTGCTTGGTGTCCGGATTCGATTAAGTGTTCTAGGATAGAGCTGTGGCGGGGGGATCTTCTTTCTCCTTTATAAAACCATGAAGGTAAGTGTTCGCTGATTCGTTTGGATAGCAAACGCTGGGTACGGCCGACATACCTATCATATACCTATCATACCTATTATCATTATTCTATTTGGTTCTGAGTGAAATATCAGGCTTCAGTGGCACATCTCCAATTTTTCCCGTTCTCTGTCGTCCCCGTCAGCCAGGTGGCTCCACCATTGCCAATAAGCGTTGGAGTCGAACTGCAAGAGGTTGTTGAGTAACATTCTCCTTGACTACACAAACCATCTTCAACAACTGAGGGTGGATAGACTTTTGTCTTCCTGTCGGAATGATCTCAAGTGATCATAACGCCTTCACCGCCTCCACTAGATAAGTTCCCTTGACTGCCTTCATGCTGAGGGCGAGGAAGGTTTCTCATGGGAGTGAAAGGAAGAATATGAACGTCTGGCATTTAAAACTGAACTAGTGGACACGTGAGTCTACCTAGGGGAGTCAGAAAACCATGATTCCGAACCTATGGTGTACAATGACTACATGATTCGAACGCGTCGAATCACGTATAAAGCTGCTTTGAACACCGGCAACCATGGAAACATAGCTTCCGACACCACCTTATTGCCTTGTAGATCAGTCTACAGGTCAAAGGCTCAACAGCTGGTCCCTTGAGGCAAGCACCTGCTTTGGTTTGAGCGTCCAGACAGTGGAGCATCTCTTCGTGCCCAAAATTTACGAAGTTTCTGTTACAATAATACTTAAGTGGATAAGAAAGAGTGGAACCTATCTTGCGACGGCCCACAGTATCATTTGGCTACCCAAACCCTGACAGGGTGGAGAGACACTGAGTTACAGAAAGCAACTTTTTCATTTATCAAACTATGAGCTGCATTAACTGAGTGTTGCCTGTCGACACCATTTACTTCTCCAGGCTGAGGTAGATCAAGTAAGCTCCCAACCAACCCTAAATTTATTTCGTTGAAAGTCAACTACCTGATCAAATGATCTACACCCTCCATAATCCTTCTGACTTACTTGTTCAGCAGTTGGCAAACGTCCTTTCTGTTTCATTAGATAGAAGACAACTTTCATCCAAAGTTTATCCCACTGACGCTTGCGTAATTTAGCCAAGTCAATTAACAAAAGTCCAGCATTGTAACCGAATCCCTAGAAAAGGGAAATAAAATGGTAATGATGAAAAAAATTTTGTTGTAATTTATTTATAATTTCTATAAACAAAAACAGACCAGATTTCCTCATCAGCTAACTGCCAACTGCTTCAATGTTTGAGTGGTAGTAGGGGAAATATTTTAAAATGAAAGCATCCAAAATATAAGCATTTCAATAGGCTTTGGTTTAAGTTACCATCAATTATTGTTATATATATTAATGTTTACTTTAGTTCCTAGAGGAACATAGGGATTCAGCTACATGTCTCCATTGCATTCAGTTCTCTACAAACGTTTTCACCTGGATCCACGTCTACCAACATACTTCCATCTCCTCTTCACATCACCTACTCCTCCCACATGTCACCCTCACACTGACGACCAACTCGCCGCTCCCCATTCCATTGGGATTCCACTAGACCAATGGCCTGGCGTTTGATGTCACTCACTTGTTGATGGTTTGTTTTCTCAGAGTATGGCCAGCCCATCCACCTCCACTTCTTCCTGCAGATTCGTTACACAATCGGTTCCCACCTGGCTGATTGGTTCGTTCACCGCCAGAGGTCCCTCACTGTTGCTGATCTTTTCTGGCTGGCCATATCATCTTGAGCGAAGTATTGAGCGAAGACAGCTTCTGGCAGAGGTTTGTAGTATGCTCGAGGTGGCCTTCGTGACGTGGCGTGGTGTCAATTCTCTAATCCGTATGGAAGCATTGAGTGACTTCACATTGAAGTTGAAAATCCCGATCTTATTTTCATTTTCATGCTGAGTGCTAAGTGCTGTTGACCTCCACATAGACTTGAGAGAAATGAAAGCTTGCCCTTCCTTACCGATCCTCGATGCTTTAATATCCTCATCAGTTCCGTTCCACTTGTATTCGAAACGGTGTTTCACAGGTGGGTAAATAGGTAGGTAGATGAAGGAGGTTGCTTCTCTCAGATTTCTCCCATTTATGCTGGCTGATTGTTGTCTGTTGTTGTTGCTGTTACGGTTGGCCAGGAATCTTCATCACCTCTGTCTACACCTTCTCTATGTTCACCTGGAGTCCTTACTATCTTTGATGCTTCTTCTGCCAACTTGTTACTTTTCATCACTTGCATATCTTCTAGTTTGTGAGAAATCAGTCATATATTATCGGGTCCATTTTATTCCTGTCCCCTCGTTGCCCTCTGCATGTCGCATTATCCAGTTTACCTCAATCTGGAAAATCATTGGAGATAGTAGGTAGCCAGCTTGTCTTACTCCCGTTTTCACTTCAAAGTATTCCATAACTTTCCTCTTTGTGGATTAATTGGCATGCAGCATTGTCGTACAACTATTGGATGAGATGTACAATTGTTGGCGGTGCCCCGTAGTAGCGAAGTAGTTTCCAAATCACCTACCGATCGACGCTGTCGAAGGCCTTTTCAAAGTCAATGAAGCTGAGATAGAGAGCCGGCTACCATTCCAAGCTCTATTCAATGATGATCCGTAGTGTTGCAATTTGATCGATGCATGGCTTGTTTCTCCGGATAGAAACCATTCTTTCTGTCCTTCCAATGTACTTGCTGCCGCAGGTGCGCGTAAATTTATAAATGCAGTTGGAGGTAACATCAGCAGGGTATTCATACAGTTTCGATTGGTTTATAGAGCATGTAGTGCTGTATAGTGTCACCAGCTTAGCTGCAGAGAAGCATATCTTTATTGCTCCTTTCATCCTCTTTTTAATCTTTTGTGATACTATTTCTCCTTTGTATGGGAGACAAATGAACACTTTATATAGTTCCACTGTTTTTCACTTGATTTTCACTTGATTTGATTGGTAGTAATATTTTCCATATTTCGGGTATGAAAGTGAAAAACAATGGAACTATATAAATGAATTTAGAAAATCGTGTGATTACCTTGATATGATTATGAGCAGTAATAAATTATGCTCGAAACGTCATCAGTAAATATTACTGTATAACACTGTGAGACTTTATCAAAATAAAATTTACCCATAATGGAATTACACTATACCACAGTGCCCAAGTTTTATTCTTATATCAATGAGATAGTTTAGTTTGAATAAAGCAAGAACAACAGTGGCGGTTTGTGCAGAATAAGAAGATGGGACAATCATTGCTGATTTCGTTGGTTTCTCATCAGCTCAACTGTTTACAGTTAAATAAAGATGACAGTTGTCTTACCAATAAAGATCAACATCAGTTACTATAGTAACCATTAGTTAAATACATATAATGAAAAGATGAAATCATATTATAATTAATAGTGGTATTTTCTGATGAATCAATAGTTAAATCTTAGTTTTTGGCTCTTATTTTCTCACTTGTATCGAGTGAATATTACAAACTTTGTCCTTTTCGAATTAACAAGTATCTCATCAATACTGAACTACTTGAAAAATTTGAATAAAGCAACAAAAACAGTGGCGGTTTGTGCAGAATAAGATGATGGTACCACCATTTGTTTATTAGATGTATCACACAGTAAAGCAGTATTATTAACTGGATGACAGATTTTCGAACAAAATTTATTGTTCATAATCATATCAGTTATAATCACACGACTTCGAAACTTGAGTTTTACAGTTTTCTTTGTTCTCTCATATTTGTCGGCGTTAAGGTAGTGGAATTTTCCAGATGTCTGGATGGATAGGTGTTGAATCATTCCCATTATAGGTGTTGATTCCCAGTTGATTCGATAAACAAAGCTTCTGTTATCAATATCTTCCTCTACCCTGCCGCTGCATTAGATTTTAAAACTGTCATCTTATCCCATCCTATTTTATGGATGATTGTGTGTAATTGCATTTAGTAAGCGCTGTAGCTGAACTATTCTCTAGATTTCTTATCTTATTCAGGTCAACCACTCTAGATTTTACTACTAGGTTTTTATGCTCCCCTGGTCTGACTGCCCCTGTTCTACTACTTGTACCTATGTATTTGACCTGACAATCATTGCAGGCAGGCTATTAGATAAACTAAATTGTTTTGTTTCAAAGGCTCCACCAGATTGATTCTTTAACCGACAAAGCTTGTTTCTAATTGAGTTTGTGGGTGGTTTGAATGCCAACCGCTTCTATTCCTGCTTGCCTTGTTAAGAATTCTGCGTAAGGTTTCTGAGGTTCCTTCCTTGTATGGAATTACTACTGATAATGTTGATTCCTTATTGTTAGTGTTGTCCATATCTTGCGCATGTCTGGCATGCATGTCATCAATAATATTATTATTATCACTATCACTACTATCATTATTTATTTTATTTTTACATCTCCTTGCATATTTCCTGACTAATTTGTCAGGGTAATTATTAAGTTTCAAGGCTTCTTTTAGGTGTATAACTTCCTATCTTAGATTTTCCTTGATACTAGTTGGTTTTTCTGATCTATCACTTAAATATTTCACCAATCCTATTTTTACTGACATAGGATGGGATGATCGCAAATCCCAATACCGGCTTGAATATGTTGGTTTCGTGTTTAACTTCTCATCTTCTTTCCTTTTTACGCTACAATCTAACATTGAAAGTTCCCCTTCCTGACTTCCCAATTCATAAGTGAATTGAATTTCCTCCACCTTTGAGTTCATGTTTTCGAAAAATCTATCTATATCCTATGTTCTAAGTGCAGTGAATGTGTCATCTACATACCTCCACCATACTTTTGGGGTGGAGGTGAACGTTTCAATCGCTATGTTTTCCCACCTATCCAGAAATATATCTGCTACAACCATGGATATTGGTGATCCCATGGCGAAATCTCCTCGCTACGGGTCATTAGGTGGAGATCGCGAAATCCTTTAAAATTATCAATAGATAAAGCAGCTCGATTCTCCTCAAGTTTGCCGAATCAATTTCCATCAAACGCTTAAAACTAGATTTATGCGTTCAGAAAAAAGCAGTTATTAGTCTTTCCTTACCCTGATAACTGGATATCTTTATTTTCTCCTTCATTTGATTACGTAATCTTTGGTTTTAACCTCACCCCCCTTTTTGATACAGTGTAATTTTGCTTGTCTCTTGTTTCTATGATTTGAGTTGAACTCAGTACGTTGCTACCTAATTTAATAGTCACTCAGCCTCTTACGCATCTCTCGTCTTTCAATTATGTAACTCCTTTACCATTGTATGCATACATTTATTTTGTTTAAACTTGAACTGCCTGTGTAAAAACTACATAAGCGCAATTTTCTTAGCATTGTTCACTAAGTACGGAACCTTCTGTCAACTGACATCCTGAAGAAAAAAATTTGCAAGTATGTCAACACTTTTCTGTGCATAAACAATAATAATTTATTTAGCCTGTGGGCAGTTGAGCTGATGAGAAGCCGATGAAATCAGCAATGATGGTCCTCTTTTCTTATTCTGCATGAGAACCACTGTTGTTCTTGCTCTATTCAAATTCATCAAGGGGAATAAATTCATGAAATAATTCAGTATTACATAGTTAATTCGTGTACTTTAAAAATTTTGCAGTTAATCTGTCCAGCTTAAATGGATCGAATAATACCGAATTATCCGCCTGAGCTGCACATTTTCTCATCATTTTAACATATTTTTTGTATACGGGAGCAATTACATTGGAAGAACAGCCAGGAGGGCCTACGTCAGATTCTGCGAACATGGACTAAGGAGCCTCCGGTTAAAGGGACCGAATTTTTTAAGCTCTTCAATCGCCAAACACTTGATTGACATAGGACACTGAATAGGTGTGCTGGAATCATTCAAAATAATTAATAGACAAATTACCCCCAGTCGTCTCAGGTTTGCTGAAGCTATAGCAATAAAACGATTGAAGCCTGACTTGTGTGTCCAAAAAGAATCCATTGTTGAGATTCAGTTACCCTGGTGACTCGCATCTTAGTAACTCTTTGTTTTCTAATTTTGTTAACTTATCTTTCCACTCCTTCCCCCTTATTTTTCGCCTGACCCTCTTAAGAAAGAACTTTTCTTGATTTTCTGGATTCTGCTCACTGCATTACATCATCAACTTCTCATCTGACCTCATAAGCACCGAAATTTTGATCTTCTCTCATCTAAATACGTAACTATTACTAATTTTCTTTTGTTACCACCCCAGCGACACAACTCTTAATTAATTTTTTTCAAGAAACTTCTCTCTAACAAGATATATATATCGTAACACTTTAGAAACCATTTAAATCGCAACGCCTTATTTCACAATGATGCTCTGACAATAGACTTGCTAATGGACAAAAGTTTGTTAAAATTGTACATTTTTTATTTCATTAAGTAATTCAGGTTGTACGCAGGTGATGAGAACCGACGAAATAAGATGGATCCAGATTATTCTACGCCAATGTTTCTTCTTTCTTTGTTCAAACATCCTGTTTTAACTGACTATACCTGCGACCGAACTTTATCACCTCTAGTTTATAACTCGAATATATTAGCGTATTACTGAGTAATAGAGGGTGACATAATTGATATAATTACTCAGAAGTGGCTTTAGAAGCAAAAAATAAAAGTTGTAAATTATGTGGTACTCAACGGCACAAAATAAGAAATGGTTAGAAATTTGATAAGCTTAAAATCGTTATTGAGCGGTAGTTGTGTGTCAATTTAACAAGTGTGAAGAGAGTATGAAAATGTACAAAAGGAACATATGAAAGTGATAATAGTGAATTAATTATTAAAGCAAAAGCAAACTGAAAGTAAAAATGAAGATTAAAAAAATTAAATTAATCAAGCCACTTAGCTCCACTACTGTCGTCTTTCAAGATCATTTAAAAGGTCAGATCAAATGGCACAAAGGGTGTCAGGTTTCAGCTTTTGTGTGGAGCAAGGGCGCTAGCAATTCGTCAGTACAACTCTGAACTCTGTATACAGAAAAAGTTTGTCCAGTCTCTTATTCTACCTTGGTTTTAACCTCTTCACTAGTCGTTCCCTTTATAAAATTTTGATTTTACTTTCAGTATACTTATACTTCAATAATTAATTCACTATTATCCCTCTCATATGCTCCTTTTGTACATTTCACACCCTCTTCACACTTGTTAAATTGACACTCAACTATTGCCTTTCTTCTCACTCAATAACGATTTTAACCTTATCAAATTTCTAACCATTTCTGTGTTTGTGCCGTTGAGTACCACGTAATTTACAACTTTTCATTTTCACTTCCAAAGCCGAATATATCTTTCCAGCACTCAGTACAATCGGCATTAACTTGAGTGTTGATATCACGTGAGAAACCTACGAATAGTTATAACAAGGGGATTCAAATTAGTTTTAGGTAAAGAGGGTAATCGAAGCAATGGTGTTATATAAGGCGTAATTAAATGTAACTATTTGAACGTATGTTATGTATGTTCAAAGGCATCACCTTCCTAGAGAACAGAATTGTCTGTCTGAGCAACGTAGAGGTATGTAAACTGATTAACTGACGATTGGCTGAGGTTTTCATGATGCAAATAATTATTGGTTCGACGCTATTCAGAGATATGACTGACTGCCTAGTGCTGCTTTATATTTTCTCAGTAAATATTTAACATACGGCAGTTTGTGAAAACTGACATAATCGATCATATAGGCCAAATTAAGGAAAAACGATCTATCGAATGCTTTGAAAGAGTTATCTATGAAATTTGCCGGGTGTGAACGTTTTTTTGAACTGAAATTTGAATTTATGCGTCACACACTTCCAACCTGGAGAAGGTGCGAAAACAGGGAAAAGGTAGGTGAGGATTGGAAGAAAGGATACTTATTCAAACTACCAAAGAAAAGAGACCTAAGTCAGAGCGAGAACTGGCGCGGAATTATGCTCCTGTCTATCTCAAGCAAAATAATAAGCCGTATCATCCTGGAGAGAGTCGAACACGCCAACGTGGATGAAAAACTTCGACCTGAACAGGCTAGATTCAGGAGAAACAAGTCATTCATCGATCAGATCGCATCACTACGATTATCGTTGAACAGACCTTGGAATGGCAGTCAACTTCATTGACTTTGAGAAAGACTACGACAGCATCGATCGGTAGGTGATTTGGAAACTACTTCACTACTACGGGGTACCGCCAACAACTATACATCTCATCCAACAGTTGTACGACAATGCTGCTTGTCAAGTAATCCACAACGGGAAACTCACGGAATCCTTCGAAGAGGTGAAGATTGAAGTAAGACAAGCTGGCTACCTACTATCTGCAACGATTTTCCAGATTGGTGTAGACCGGATAATGTGACAGACAGTGGCCAGCGAAGAGATAGGCATAAAATGGATCCACACAAAACTTGGAGGATCTGGACCTCGCCGATTATATCTATGCCTGATTTCCCACAAACTGGAAGACATGCAAGTGATGAAAAGTAACAGGTTGGCAGAAGAAGCATCAAAGATAGCAAGGACTCCAGGTGAACATAGAGAAGGTGTAGACAGAGGTGATAAAGATTCCTGACCAACCGTAACAGCAACAAAAACAGACAACAATCAGCCAGCATAAATGCGAGAAATCTGATAGAAGCAAACTCATTCACCTACTTACCTACCTACCTGAGAAGCATCATTTCAACCACAGGCGGATGGAACTGATGAGGATATCAAATAGAGAACCAGGAAAGCAAGACTAGCTTCCGTTTCTCTCAAGTCTGTGTGGAGGTCAACAGCACTCAGAACTCAGCATGGATAATAAGATCCGGATTTTCAACCCCAATGTGAAGTCAGTTAGTGCCACTATACGGATCAGGGACTTAGCGCCCCTTGGCGAAGGCCACTTCGAACAAACTATATACCTTCATTAACAGCAAACTGTCTTCGCTCAATACTACTCAACATCAGATGGCCACATAGAAAAGAGCAGCAAAAGAGAGGGATCTCTGGCAATGAGCGAACCAACCCATCAGGAACGAATTGTACAACAAATATGCAGGAAGAATTGGAGGCGGATTGACCATACTCCGTGAAAACCAACCACCAAGTGAGTGATATCGCAAGACAGGCCATTGCTCTAGTGGAATCCCAATGGAATGTGGGGCGGCGAGTTGTTGGTCCGTGCGATGGTGACATGTAGGAGGACGAGGTGATGTGAAGAAGAGATGAAAGGATGTGGGCAGACGAGGAGCCAGGTGTAAACGTTGGCAGAGAACTGAACGCAATGGAGACGTGCGGCTGAAGCCCTATATTCCTCTAGGAATTAAAGGAAACTATAATAATAATACACTTCCAACCTGGTGGATAATTGGGTGCTGAACGTGATTGGCTAACAAGCGCAACAGTGGCAGGTTCAGTCAGTAGGCGTGGTCAGGAATGCGCATTATTTTCAATACTCCCTAGCCTGGAGGAAACAACTTTCTAGTGTTACATACTTCCAATTATGATCGGTTATTTACTAAAACTAAAACATACCAAAAATTATAAAGAAGCTTACCAAATTAGGCCAAAATTTATGTCCCATATTAGAGTAAAATGTCGGATTTTGTTCAGCAACAATTCCAATGCACTATGAGAAAATAAGGTGAAAACACTTGGCATCATCTGATTTTGATAAAAACCTTTTGAACAGTTATAAATATATTCAAATGAACTGTCGTCAAGATTTGACAGAATAGTTCTAAAATATTTGGGCGCCGAGTGAGAAGTAGACATTTGTAAAAAAATTATATTTGTAAAATCTCAGCGATATTGAACTAGAACTATTCTGTCAAATCTTGACGACAGTTCATTTGAATTATTTTGCTATCGAATTAAATTAACAAAGAAACTATGTAATTGGCACAATCATCGTGTTTTCAATCTCCATTTTCTGGAACAAAATGCACATCCTAAATCCGTAGCTGTCGAGTCACCTGATAATTCCAGTAAGTCGAATAAAGCAGCTCAATATTCAGAAAGAAGACAATGCAATAAGTTCCACAGGGTGCTTAAACTAAACTCTAATCCTAAACACCATAATTTTGAAAATACGTCTAATCATAAAATTCTAGGTACTAGCAGTTTGAACGGACATGAAGGTTTGATGTTAGCTGATGCATAGGAAATCCTGATTAATAAATAAAAAGGGATATGTATCACTAATTATTAATACTTGGTCAAATTCCTGACTGTCTATATCTTCCTATGGAGACGTTAAGAAATGTTTTACAAATGTTTACCCACACACGCATGCACACTCTGTTTGAAGTGTTTAACAAAGGTAGACCAATATTTGTAAGTCCGAGGTCAAATTTTGATCACACCTCATAAAATTTTGTTTATTATACTTGTTGATACTTTTTGAATGACTCATGATTGGACAAATTTTCAAAAACAAAAGATGTGCCTTTTATATATAAACCTCTGTTATGTTAATTTTGATTAATTTCCCTGAAGAAGTTCGGACCAGATTGCCGAACGAAACGTTGGAATTACTCATTTCAATATCGCTGAGATTTTACAAATATAATTTTTCACAAAAGTTATTAATATATGTGTAAAACGTAGGCACTGTGGTAGTAAGTAATTCCATATTGTCAACCATGTTAGTTGTAAAGCGGTTGTAAAGAAACTACGAAATGACGATATCATCTCGCGAAATTTGTCTTCTTAATGCCTTATTCAAATTTATCATAGGGACTAATTGTTTTAATTCCATGTTAGTTTGTTTATAAGATATATCACACACAGTGAGTGAATCAGTATTATTTCCCGGGTAACAAAGATTCGAACAAAATTTATCACTATTCATAATCATATCAACTTCGTGTACAGCTAAACACCTTATAGAGATGAACCATAAGATTGATGTCAACTCAGCCTTTTAGGTCATCTATAAAAACGGTCAAGGACGTTTACTGAAATACGCCGAGGCTATAGCTATTCATAAACTTAAGCCCTCCCCCCTGTGTATTCAAAAACAATTTATTATTACTCCTAACCTACCTTGGTAATCCTTATTTGATTGGATTACCAAACGTTGTGCTAATCATTCTTAAATCTCTATTTTTTTTCACTTTGTTTTATTTAATTGCCTTTAATTTTTTCACATATATCCACTTGACAAGTAAATGTGTGATCAGATTGTTCAAAATTTATAGCTCAAATACATCACATTGTTTTTCAGATAATCTCCATCTTCTTATAACGCTATCCAAATAATCATATCAATTATAATCAGACGAAGTCGAAACTTGAGTTTTATATTTTTCTTTGTTCTTTCCTATTTGTCGTCATAGGGGTAGTAGAATTTTCCAGATGTCTGAGTGAACAGTCGCTGAAACATTCCTATCACAAGTGTTGATTCCCAGTTGATTCGATAGACAAAGCTTCCGTTATCAATCTCTCCCTTCACCCAGCCAGTTACATTAGATTTTAAAACTGTCATCTTATCCCATCCCATCCTATTGTATGGTTGTGTGTAATTGCATGTAGTGAGTGGTATAGCTGAACTATTCTCCAGATTTCTTATCTTATTCGGATCAACTGATCTAAAATTTGCTGGGTTTTTGTACTCCTCTAGTCTGACTGCTCCTGTTCTACTACCTTGACGTATGTATTTGACCTGACAATCATCCAAGCAGGGAATTAGATAAACTAGATTGTTGTGTTTCAAAGGCTCCACACAACTGATCCTTTAACCGACAAAGCTTATTTCTAAGTGAGTTTGTGAGCAGTTTGAATGCCAATTCTATTCCTACCAATATTGTTAAGAATTCTGCGTAAGGTTTCCGAGGCTCCTTCTTTGTATGGAAGTACTACTGATGGCTTATATTCCCTGTGGTTGGTGCTGTCATTATCTTGCGTATCTTTTATATGCATGTTGTCAATAATATAACTATTACTATTACGATTATTATTATCACCATCACTACTATGATTATATATTTATTTTTACATTTCCCTACATACTTTCTGATTAATTTATCAGAGTAATTATTACAACTACAGTGAATGTGTCATCACTGTACTTAGAACACAGGATATAGATAGATTTTTCGAACACATTGACTCAGAGGTGAAGGCAATTCATCAATTCACTTATGAATTGGAAAGTCAGGAAGAGGGGAGCTTCCAATGTTAGACTGTAGCGTAAAATGTAAAGAAGATGAGAAGTTAAACACACCAGTGTATGCAAAGGAAACCCACCTGCACATTCAAACAGATATTTGGACTTCCAATCATCCCATCCTATGTCAGTGAAAATAGGATTGGTTAAATGTTTAGGTAATGGAGCACAAAAACTAAGTAGTACCAAGGTTAATCTAAGACGTGAAATGAGGCATATAAGAGAAGCTTTGGAACTTAATAATCACCTTGATAAACTGGTCAGAATGTATGTAGGGAAATGTAAATATAAAATAAATAATGATAGTAGTGACAGGATGGGTAAGATGACAGTTTTAAAGTCTAGTGTAACTGCATGGTGGAGGGAGAGATTGATAACGGAAGCTTTGTTTATCGAGCCTACTGCAAACCAACACGTGTAATAGAGAATGATTCAACACCCTCCACCCACATATCTGTAAAATTCTGCTACCCCTACGACGACAAATAGGAGATGACAAAGAAAACTAAAAAACTCAAGTTTCGAAGTCGTGTGATTATAATTGATGATATGATTATGAATAATAATAGATTGTATTCGAAAAGTCATCCAGTAAACAGTATTCTTTTGAAGAGTTAGTAAGTTCGGATTTGATTTGTTTCAAGTTCGATCAAGGGACTGATGGCATTTGTAGAGCCGTTGAAGATCACCAGGCAGTACTGGACATCTGTTTCGCTCTAGTTTGCTACTCTACAGCAATATACACTAGTGACTAGCTAAAGGACTATGTTATCTGGAGCTCAGAGGAGAAGTTGTAACCAGTGGCGTCTACCGGATAGGATATGAGTACGAATACTCCCTCAAAATATTGGCTGGACGTCCCACTATATAACACGAATCGATAGAAGTTGGAATTGATAAGCCACTGAATTCCACCCCAGTGGCTGACGGATTAACGAGGTTGTATCTAGTAACCTGAAGGTCATTGGTTCGATTCCTGGTGACGTCGTGGGTGAGTACTATTGAAGAGTCTCAGGCTAAGAGAAAATAGCTCTCTGGTACTATTTAGTATATATTTTTGACAAAGTTATACAATAGCGTCCCAAGGAATGAGAACGGACGAGTGATCTTGAGACGACCAATCATAAAAATGTGTGATATTTGCACAAAAAGAAATGTTTACTTACGAGAAAATGCATGAAAACACTTTAAATAGGGTATCTCTCTCTGGCACGACTTAAAAGTTTGTGCCGGTTATAATGAGGAGTGTAAGTTTCTAAGTTAAACCAATTTCCGAACATGTATTCACCGAGGCGGCTTAAGCAGAGTTTGTTTTGTGACCCATTTATCGCTCTCATCCTGTATTGCAGTCTTACATAAAAGTCCTCAGTGGCATTGCTGTGGTTTCCAGTAAGAGGATAGACGACTACTTACAAGGAAAATGTGGATAATAAAACAAATACCTAATCGTAATCCTAACCTTAATCCTGACTCTAACCCTAGACTTAATACTGACCATAACCTTAGCCCTAACCCTAATTATAACTCTGATCCTAACCTTAACCCTAATCCTAATCCCAACTAGCTACTAACATATTGTGTAAATAGTACTTAAAAACGTGATCTGGGTGAGGCTTGCCCCTTAGTTAATGAATAGCGTTCATATTTCCCAATGATAATGACAGGTGTTGTTAACCAATAACTAGCATGCGTTCAAGGTCATTGGTGCGTTCGCACACCTGGGACGCTATTGATTAACTTCGCCATATTTTTAACATTCTGTACACTAAGCTATGCTAGCTACATATTAGCTAAGTCAAGTAGGCAGGGTGCAGGAATTGTCTTGTTGATTCACAGATTGAAAAGATCAATAAATTTTACGTATTACTGGCTGAAGTGAGTAGGTGAAAACCTCACACGGATTAAGCAGTATTGCCTGTCAGTCAGATTGACATGAGGAAAACAATGAAGGGCTAATTGATTTAAAATATGTGTAAAACTTTGGCACTGTGGTAATAAGTAATTCCATATTTGTTTGTTTATGAGATATATCTTACAAAGTGTGAAACAGTATTGTTTACCGAATGACAAAGTTTCGAACAGAATTTATTGCTGTTCATTATCATATCAGTTATAATCACACGACTTCGAAACTTGAGTTTGATAGTGTTCTTTGTTCTCTCCTATTTGTCATCTTAGGGGTAGTAGAATTTTCCAGATGACCGGATGGACAAGTGTTGAGCCATTCCTGTAAAACATGTTGATTTGCAGTTTATTCGATAAACAAAGCTTCCGTTATCAATCTCTCCTTCCACCCAGCCAGTTACATTAGATTTTAAAACTGTCATCCTATCCCATCCTATTGCATGGTTGTGTGTAGTTGCATGTATTGTAGTGCTATAGCCGAACTATTCTCTAGATTTCTTATCTTATTCGGGTCAACTAATCTAGATTTTGCTGCTAGTCTGAGTGATACCGTT